TGATCCTAAATCGACGGGACATCGTTCACGAGCCGAAGGAACGCCGATCATGGAAGTTAAGGAGCACCTATCCGTGTTCCGTCTGGTCTCATGGCCCGGAATTTATGTCATCCACTCACTCGTGACGAGGCACCGACGGCACGTTGAGATTCACAACTCCACGCACGCAGGGCCAGCGATGCCGGACGGACTGAAATTCCGGCGAGACCTCGCCTGGCACAGGCAGGCAGGCAGGAAGGCACAGAGCAGCGCAGTTGACATTTCGCATGTCAGCCAATCAACGCAGGTTTAACGAGATTAAGATGTCATGTAGACGATGGCAGTTTCAAATGACGCGTGCGGATGCAAGCAAGGAAGCAACGCAGCTCAACGGTTCCGAAGTCCGCCGACATTGGAGTCTCAACTCCGTGACCGTTACCGTTACCTCACCTGAGATCCTTGCCGAGGAAAGCGCTCTGGAGAAGTGCAGCAGGGGCCAGGGCCGATGCCATCTGGGACGAGGCTACGGACAGCAATCGGAATTGCGAAAATGCGAGGGCGAGCAGCAAATACCTCACGAGCAGCTGCAATGCAGGAGGATGAATCGGAATTGCGAAAATGCGAGGGCGAGCAGCAAATGCCTCACGAGCAGCTGCAATGCAGGAGGATGAATGAGCGCACAATGAATGGTGGAGGATGAATTTGTAGAACGTTGGGAGGGTCCCAACTCATCTCACAATGTGCTGGGGAAGACCGCCTTGGGAGAATCGAACTTGCGCGTTTTGTGAAGTACGCGCCCTTTGCGTGATCAGTTGCGACGGACTGTACACAAATGTGCATTTGCTTATACGGAAAGAAAGTGCACTTTTGGAGATTCTTGCTTTGGTGAGCTGTGTGATTCTGTGCCAACGTGGAGGGGAAGTGTTCCAAAGCGAATCGCCCTGGAAACATCTCCAGGTATGATTCTCCGCCACGTCGGACAACTTGGATTTCACTGCCCTTGTTGAATCCAACCCTGCCCAACCAGAACCCAGCAGGTGACTTTTCGGCCTACGGCCGCAACTGCGCTCGACCCTCCATCCACCCTGCACCTTTTCTAACAAATTGTCATTGTTGATCCCAGTTTCAGATTCGCCTCTCTCTAACGACGTAACTTTGGAGCTCAGGATTCAACAGACAGTGACTCGCAGCTGTCCAAGTCTCAACAGTACCCTCACAGTTGTTGCTGGCCTTGCACGAACGATTTTTTCTGATAGATCACTGCTATCTCGGCTGTTTGTTGGGACTGTCAGAATGGCAGCGCTAGCTAGCGGCGCGTCTTTGGTCGTTCCCAGTGTGTGTAAAGCCACTAGAAAATCCCCCCTCTCGTGCGCGTCGTCAAGCGTTTATGGCCTTCCTGCCCTCCAGATTCGTTCTAGACGTTCCTTGGCCAACGCGTCAAGCCGCGGCTTTCAGAGAAAGGTACGTCTTAGTTAGCATAGCTGGGCTCAAAAGAGAATTTTTAGTGGGGTGGCTAGATCGTGTTGCCCAACATTATAATGTTTATTTAATCGTTTTCGCCCTCCCCCTTCATCGACACTTGCGTTTTGTGTTTGTGGTTTCTTACTCAGAATCTGCAAATTTTGGCAGCGACCGATTTGAAAGAGGAAATGGTGGAGTTTGCGAACGCTGAGAAACGGTGGAGGGCTCAGGTGCGTGTCCATCAACTGTCCTCCTGATGTCTACCTTCTGCATATCCAGGAAACATTTGCTGAAACTGCTGGTTTTGCAGATTGCCGAGGGCAAGGTGAAGTCACTGTCTGCGAAGGAAGCGGGGTACACTTACCAGCTGTCCGACTACGTTCTGCTTGACGTTCGACCATCGTATCAGCACAACAAGGTTAGTCTGGTTGCAGTTCATCAATTCTCGTTGTTCTGACGACTTTCGCTTACCGCGAAATTGTAAATTGGAAAGCTGTTTTCGCAATTTTAAGTCGGTCCCTTGCGTTTCCGACCCGCTATTGATTTCGTCGGCTTCAGTCTAGGGTGAAAGGCTCACTGTGGATCCCTGCCTTCGACATCGACAACAGTGCCAGCCCAGGGGTCTTGTCCCAGAAGTTCATGACCTTCATGATGGGTGAGTTTGCCCAGGGGTACTCAGTTTTGTCGGGAGAAACACAAGCGGTTTTATTTCCTCCAGTTACAAGAAAAGCGAGTTGCCCTTCACACACTTCCGCAATACTGAATGCACAAATCTGAGTTGGGACTAGCTCACGTTGTATTTTCGGAGGAATAAGTGGAATTTTTGCTGTGGTTGACAAGCCGCATTCACATCTGATGGTACACTTTGCCATTTTTTTGTGCCATTTCAGGAGGATGGTGGTCTGGAGCGTCAGTCAACAAGAGAAACGAGTAAGTCGCTCCTTACGAGTAACATCCTTAACCCTAGCTGGTGAAAAATAATGACATTCGTATTCTGGCATAGGAAGCTCTGCTTGCCAGTTCCTTCCCAACCCTCCTTGATTCCTGTTTCTTTCTTTGCTAGAGAGGGTTCTTTCTGTGGTGTTCATATGAGACTCTTTCCGTCCTTTTTTCCAGGCGATTTATGGCTGATGTTGTGGCTAACATTCCCAAGAGTGCCAACATTATTGTTGCGTGCCAGAAGGGTTTGAGGTAGGCGCTTGCGTTCCTTGTTCCAGAGTAAGATGTATTTCGCGGTATTTTTCTGCAGTAGCCCTTAACCGGCTCAAGCACTGAACTCTCCTTGCTGTCATTTCATACTTGCAGATCTCTTGCAGCATGTGAGCACCTTTACAAGGCTGGCTACAGAAATATCTATTGGATAACTGGTGGCTTTGACACTGCCAGTGACGAGGTACCTAGAAATAGTTTTCAATTTGTCATCCCTTTTAGTGCCCCTCTGCAATTTTCCCGAATTTACGTTTCACTACCTTCTCACATTCTTGACATCAATATAGACATGTTCGATGATGCAATGCATTTCAGCCCACTGAACCCTTATGATATCCTAACCACCGAGTTGCTCTGTGTTGGCTCACGATTTCAGGACTTCGAGCGGGAGGGTCCAGTTCCCCTTCAGCTGGCGGGCATTGGAGGCATGTCTGAATTCATTGGGTAAGTTCATTTTGTCTGATGTTGTGTCAGTTGTTGTGGAAGTCCTGACTTAATGTTTTCCTGGTTTCGTGCAGCTGGACTGATCCTCAACGTCGCCTTGCCAGAACTGAGGGGTGGCAGTACCGTGCCACTTTTTTTGGCCGACTGGTAAGTAGTAGATCTATGGTTCACACGCTTATTTTGTCAGCCTTAAATTTCAGCTGTCTAATGGTATCATTGCATTTGCCTTGTTTCAGCTTGTGGTATTTTTGGCTGCGGACCTTGCTCTTATTGGGTTGCAGCAACTCAGCTCTTTTTTTCGAGAGCTTGGCCAATAAGCGCCAATAAGAGAAGTAATTTGCTTTGGCTTTGTCATTGATATATATGTCTAGCATTCTGATCCACACTTCTCTCGCTTCTTGTACATTAAAGCTGAGCGACCTTGTACGGTGGAACTTGAGGTTTGTGGCTGCAATAAAAAAACGGAGGCAAACTCATTTCAAAAAGGGGAATTTGCGGTCCGGATCCGAGATTGCAGATTTGATGCTGTACACTAAGCAACGGTTCTCATCATCTGGACGCTTGTTTGATTCCCTCAAACACCTTGCTGATGAAAGTTCCATTCGTTGGTCATCGCAACCCGCCATAGGGATCAACCCCGCAAAAAGGGATCTTCTAGGGAAAACTATACCTGGACACCGCCAATTTCACGTCTAGGCTCACGCGACACCCTAAACGTTTTTAGGCTTGATCAGACACTTGGAAGCTGGGGACTGTGATTGATGGTGTTATGCGTGGATGTCGAGATTCTATTTGCTCCCTCTCCCTCGTATACAACCTCTCTCAATCAGAAACCATCCTAATCAGCATTCGGTTTTAGATTAGCCAAGGGCTGTTGCCCAAGGGTGTGCTGTTTTGTGCTGTTTACGATACTGTACGTGGCATAATTCTATTGCTTGATTCCGCGTCAATATGATTACACACGACGAAAATCTGGATCTTGAGATTTCCAGCTTCTCAATTGCCAGATTGAATTGAAAAGAACGCGTTTCCATATGAATGCCAGATGCACCCATCACTGCTCCCCCATCATCGCATCACGCGTATCTCTCATCACCATTCGATTCCTCCAGCAATTCCCTAGGCAACGGCATCGCAAAGCGACAATCCGCCAGGTGCGCTCAACCCAGCCAGCGCTATCGCAAAGCAAAGCCAACCCAGGCTTCCTTCGCTCATGCCCAGTGCAGCTTTTCTTGCTTCAGCTTTGTTTCAAGCGCAACCTCACTGTACGTCTCGCACTAGCGTTCCCGATGCGACGGACGGTTCCCAAAAGCGCGGTCATCCAAGATCCATCCCGTGCCCTCTGCTCCGTGGCTCATTTAGAGAACCCCCTTGTTCAGTGTCGATCTCGCAATCTGATTCAGTAATGCTCGCATTCGTCAGCCTGGTTCCTTTTCGCAGGTCAACAATATATGAGTTATTTATTTTCAGGTAATATTACAGAAACCGCTTTCAACATTGTCAGGTTGACACGTGTCATTCCCGTTGCAGTTGCGCTTCGTGACATGGCCAATATTTGACTTTTTTTTTTTTTTTTTCATACGCACGCATGTGGACTCACTAGCAAATACTTTCCCAGGCCCTTTGATGGGACTATTTACGAGTGCCGCCTCTCACGCCTAAAAAGCACTCTCCAGAAGGTGGTCGTGTTAGCAACTTACTTGAGAGTCGCCAAGTTTCTGTAGATTGCTTTCAATACGTGATAGTGCAGACATAGCAACTGACAGCACGAGTACTATTCGCCGCTGCGACACTTGAACTCACCGCTTAACCGCCAACGAAGTACCGCGAAGTTACGCCAAGGGTTCATTCTGAGCGTGCGATATTAGAAATTCTCACGACCGACAGCGAAACCAGTCGTTGAAAGAATGTCAGGCGGCCCTTCCGGCGGCGTGGGAGGGGGAGGGACGAGCAGAGACGGCGCGCAGATGCCGCCCGACATGGCGTTCGAATGGGGCTACTCTCCAAGAGGTACGCCTCCGTCCTTTCTTCCCGGCGTCTCGCTCCCTGAGGGTGACATTTGAGACTACTCAAAAGTCAGTTCAAATGGGACGAGCAGAGACGGCGCGCAGATGCCGCCCGACATGGCGTTCGAATGGGGCTACTCTCCAAGAGGTACGCCTCCGTCCTTTCTTCCCGGCGTCTCGCACTTTTAGATGACTTACAAGTCGACTCAAAGGTCAGTTCGAATGGGGCTACTCGCCTCGAGGTACGCCTCCGCCCTTCCCGGCGACTCGCACTTCAAGGTGACATCTGAGTCGACTCAAAAGTCAGAGGCTACTCGCCTCGAGGTATGGTTCCGTCCTTTCCGGCGCCTCGCACCTCGAGACACGCCAGGAACTCTGCAGACGTCCGATCTCCGTTGGCCTGCTCATTTCAGTTTCGTGTGGCTTCTCTTTAATTAGATCTCCCCTCTCTCCTTTCCGCAGTTCGTTCTCTGCTGCTTTCATCTAATTCCCCTCGGATCTCGAGCCTGGCACTTGTTGTCACGCATTTCTTTCTTGGGTCCCCAGCTTACGATCTCGTTCGTTCTGCTCCGTTTTCCCCACCACCTTCCCCCCACACCACCTTTCCCTCCCCTCACCTCCCCTCCCGCCGCGACATGCAGCTGTGCACTCACCATCCCGCTTCAGCCGGGACGAGGAGGCGAACCCTAATCGGACCAAAAGCAACCTCAGCCAGCAGCGCACGCTCAGTCTCAGCGCAGCGCGCCTCAGCCAAGCCGCCGCGGACCTCGGATTCCATGTCACCCCTCCCCCGTACCCCTCCGCTTCCGCCAATGCGCCGCCTGCGGCGCACGCAGGAGCGTTCCCCGGCTTTTCCCCCGCGGCTGCTGCGGCGGCTGCTGCTGCGCTCGCAGCAGGCGGGGATGCTGCCGTGGGAGTGGGTCTAGGGGGAGGTATACCTGGGGGAGGTCTCGTTCGGGGCGGGTCGGGACTGGCAGGGTGGTCAGGGGGGGTAGCTGGTGCTGGTGGCGCCGGGCATTTACAGTCGCTTACAGTGGATCCGTCTAAAGCGGGGATATCCGCTCGGGGAGCAGGGGGGCACGGCGTGCCGCCCCTGCCGCTTCCGTCGCCGAAAGGAAACGCGGCCGCTGCAGGCAAGCTGGGCAGCCCGAGAGGAAACTTTTCCGGATCGCGGGCAGCCGCGCTGGGGCATTGGCCGAGAGGCGGTTTGCCCGCGAGCATTCAGCAGCAGCTGATGATGGGGGCGATGGGGGGAGGGGCGGGCGGGGGAGCAGCAGGCGGGGGCGCAGTGGGACTCGCAGGGCTGGGGGGAATGCAGGGCGGCTTTGCTGGCGGTGGAGGCGGCATGGGGGCGTTGGGGAATGTAGGGGGAGCGGGAATGGCGGGAATGGCTGGGCTTGCTGCTTTGAATAGTAGCAGCGACGGCAGCGGCAGTGGCGGCGGCAGTGGCGGCGGCGGCGGATTACCCGGTATGAATCTACAGACGCAGTTAAGCCTCCTAGCCGCCCAGCTAGACGGCCGATTGGACGACAACAACCCTCTCTCACGGACCAGCAGCGCGCCGCCACTTGGCGCGCTTCTCGCCAGCATTGGTGACGTGGCAGAGCTGGAGAGGCTCTACCGATTGCTCCCCGATGCCATGTCACCAGACGTCTCCCCGCACGTGGGGCTGACTCTGCCGTACCAGAGCATAGCCGCGGCGTCAGGCTCGGCAACAAGCTCGGCAGTAGGCTCGGTGGCGACGAGCCCGGACCGGGAATTGCACTTGCATCGGCTTCTGGGGAGCATGGGGAGCGGTAGCATGGGTAGCATGGGCAGTGGGAATATGGGCAGTGGAAGCATGGCGGGGTATTTATCGTCAAATGTACCATCTATGGCGGCTTTAATAAGGGAGCGCACTAAGCTCTCCCGTACTAGCAGCTGCCCCCCCCCTGTGGCGGAGGACATGAGCGGGGGCGCGGGGGGAAGCGGAATGGAGGGGCGCGGGGGCGAGGGGGAGTCGTCTGAGTCGGAGGGGGAGAGCGGGCAGCATGGGGCGGGCGCGGGGCACAAGAGGAAGAAGCGCCGCGCGCCGGGGGGAGTGGGGGCGGGTGCTGACGCGGCGGGGCTGGGGGGAGGCAGGAGCGGGGGAGGCAGCAAGGTAAGGGCCCCCGTTCGGTTTCTCTTCAATATCATGAGTGTGACTGTGCTCGTGCCTGGCTGCGTGGCTGTCCTTCCAGCGTACCCCTCAACAGCACCTACATCCCCCCCCTTTCCAGTTCCTTTTCCCCTAGCTCTAATTTTCCCTCTTATCTCCCACGTGGCCCTCCACTCACCGCCTCCCCTCTCCGCCTCATGTCTCTCCCCGCTCCCACATGTGCCTCCCCCTTGCCCCCCATGTCCCCTCCGCGCCACCCTATTCCCCCAACTGCAGCGGGAGCCAGAGCGACGCGCTGGACGGCGGGGCGCGCCTGGGGGGGGGGCGCCTGGGGGGGCGCGCCTGGGGGGGGCGCGCCTGGGGGGTGCGCGGAGAGACTTGAGTCGACTCACAAGGCACCCATTGCTCCCCCACTCACCGCCTCCACCCTCCCCTTCATTCGCCTTCCCCGTTCAACACATGTGCCTCCCCCTCCCCCCCATGTCCCCTCCGCGCCCGCCCTATCCCCCCATGTCCCCTCCGTGCCCGCCCTATCCCCCCAAGAGCAGCGGGAGCCAGAGGACGCGCTGGACGGCGGGGCGCGCCTGGGGGGCCGCGGAGGGGGCGGGGGAGGCGCAGGGAGCGCGGGCAGCGGGGGGAGGGGAAGCGCAGGGGCGTGGGGGGGGAGCCTGGGGGGCGGATATAGCATGCAGGGCGGGGGGATGGGGGGAAGCATGCAGGCGGGGGCGATGGAGACATCGAGCCAGGACTACATTCACGTGCGCGCGAGGCGGGGGCAGGCCACTGACAGCCACAGCCTTGCTGAACGGGTGAGTGACGGCCTTAGGAAGGTTGGGGGAAGGGGAGGGTTGGGGGGGGGCTGGGGGGAGTGAGGGGGGGAGGGTGGCTGGATTGAGAGGTCGTGTTGGGTTGAGAGGGCAAATGTCAAGATTTATGGACTGGACGAAATGGTGGGGTGAAAAAGGTGCAAGCTGCCATGCCATCCTCGTTACCTGCTGCTCTGCTGCTCGGTGTATTGTTGATGTTCTGTGGTGCTGAAAACCCTTGCTACTGTGATACTGTTTTTGAGTCGATTCAAAAACAGGCTGCTGTGATACTGTTGACTTACTCTGTATCCCGAAAACCATGACGTTCTGTGCTACCCTGAACCTTGGATCTCTGTGCTTACCGTGACGCTCTGTGGTGCTGCGCAGGTGCGGAGGGAGAAGATCAGCGATCGCATGAAAGTGCTGCAGAGCCTTGTGCCCACGTGCACCAAGGTATGCAATGCACACACACTTCCTCTACTCCCCCGTCTACAGCCCGTGCTCTCTGTTCCACCGCCGTGCTGCAGAGCCTTGTGCCCACCTGCACCAAGATATGCAATCTAGTTTTAAGGCGTCTTTTGAGTCGAGTGTGATAAGTCGATTTTTTAGTCGACTCAAAATCGACTAATCACACGAGCCTTTTGCCCACCTGCACCAAGGTGTGCAATCTAGTTTTGAGGCGCCTCAAAAAGTGCTGCAGAGCCTTTTGCGCACCTGCACCAAGGTAAGTGCGCTTCCCTGTTTCCCTGCCTCCAACCAGTGCTCTTTATCTCACCCTCATCCATCAAAATGCGCAATCATATCTGCCATGCTATGCAAAGCCAGCTTTTGTCTTGACGTGTCTTCTGCAAAGGGATATGCCTTTACATGCAAGGCCTTCGTGCTGGGTGATAGTAGCGCTGCGCCTGAATGCCTCCTCTCGTCTTTGATTGCTCCCCGCCTTCCAATGTGTGCATGGCGATGTGATGTGCATGGTGATGTGATGTGCATGGTGATGTGATGTGCATGGTGATGTGATGTGCATGGTTGTATGTATGGTGGCATGCTGGCATGCATGGTGGGATGTGTGGCATGCATGGTGGCATGAATGGCATGTATCACACCAGGCGACGGGCAAGGCAGTGATGCTGGACGAGATCATCAACTATGTGCGCTCGCTGCAGCTGCAGGTCGAGGTGAGTAGTGCTGAGTACTCCTGGGGGAACTTGTAGGAATTCGGTGAGGGATTGAGTACTTGAGAGCAATTATGTGCGATCACTGCAGCTGCAGGTTCAGGTGAGGCCCAATTCCAGTGATTTCATCTCATTCCCTCTTTATCGCTCCGCTTTGGCCCAACACAAGAAAAGATTTCGCGCTTACACATCTGGCCCATTCCCCATTCAAATCCCTCACATCTGCGTCTTCTCTTCCTCCTCTCAACTCCTCATTCCCCTAACCCCACTCCCATCTTCCCCACTCTCTTTCTTTTCCTTTTAACCCGTCACTCCCCCAGCTGCTATCAGCCAAGCTAGCAGCAATAGAGCAGGACACGGCAGAGATGGACGGCTCGGATTCACCCGCCGACTTTTGTGTGGCCCAGATGGCAGCACTGGGAGGGCTGGTACTCCCCTCCGCCCCTGCTACTGCTGCTGGTGCTGGTGCTGGGGTGGGTGGTGGTGAAAATGTTGCCGAAGCAGGTGGTGATGCCGCAGCTGGTGGGGCTTCTGCTGGTGTGGGCGCTTCTGGTGGTTCTGCTGGTAATGCTGGTAGTGCTGGTGCGGCTGCTGTGGCTGCCGCTGCGCTTGCAGGTGGAGCGTTCAGACAGCCATCGCCGTCCTGCTCCCAGTCACATGACTGGTCAACCACTGATGTGAGCTCTACCGCCTGCTCCTGTCAGCTCTCATGATTGCTTGTGTCAGATCTTATGATTTCTGATGTCAGATCTCATGATTGCTGATGTCAGATCTCATGATTGCTGATGTCAGATCTCATGATTGCTGATGTCAGATCTCATGATTGCTGATGTCAGATCTCATGATTGCTGATGTCAGATCTCATGATTGCTGATGTCAGATCGCATGTTTGCTGATGTCAGATCTCATGATTGCTGGTGTCAGGTCTCATGTTTGCTGATGTCAGATCTCATGATTGCTGGTGTCAGATCTCATGTTTGCTGATGTCGGATCTCATGTTTGCTGATGTCAGATCTCATGTTTGCTGAAGTCAGATCTCATGATAGCCCATGTCAGAGCTAAACCATGCTGGACACTCCCTTCCAGTCCCATGTTAATCTCTTCTCCACATGACACGTTCCCCTTTTCGATCCTCCCACCCTCTTCTTCCATCCTGCGCCCCCCCACCCTCTCCACCCTTATTCTCTCTCCCACCCTCTTCCCCTCTCCCCCCTCTCACCCCTCTCCCCACTCTCCGCCCTCTCCGCCCTCATTCCCTCGTTCCCCGCCCTCATTCTCCTCTCTCCCAGACGGCCCATCACAGCACAGCATCGCCCATGGCCACGCCATCACCATCAGCGTCACTGGGAGCAGCGGCCGCCCTGCACCCCGACATGGCCTCCCTCCCCACTGACCTCGCCCGCCTCCTCCTCTCCCGCCACCTGCCCCACCTCCCCTTTGGGGGACCCGCTGGGGGGGCGGGGGGAACAGAAGGGGGAGCGGTTGGTGGGGAGGAGTTGCAGGGAGACGGCGGGGGAGGAATGGGGGGAGGCGGGGGGGAGGGGCTGGGGGAACTGACGATGGAGCAGCTGCAGGCTCAGTTGGATGCTATGAATGGGGCAGGCGGAGGGGTGGGGGCAGGGGGAGAGGGGGGACTTCCGCACATGGGCGCGCAGTGCGAGGTGAGGTTGAGCGTGTGAGGTGAGGAGGGGCGTGCGAGGTGAGGAGGGGCGTGCGAGGTGAGGAGGGGCGTGTGAGGTGAGGAGGGGCGTGCGAGGTGAGGAGGGGCACTGGGTGCACGGCACAGGTTGAACTGCATCTGCATGTATTGTGAATCCTATCATGCACTGCATCCGCCTCCTCGTCCCATCCCCATCTTCTCCTTCCTTGCGCCCTTCTGTCTAGCGCCTGTCAAGCGCCTGTCTAGCGCCTCAAAAGCCGACCCAGACCTCATAAGTTGAGTGTTTTGAGACGTCTCAAAACACGCCGACCCAGACTTCATGAATTGAGAATACAATCATGAGTTGCCTTAAACAGCTCTTCATCCGACCGTGACCCCTATCCCCTCCTCTCCTGCTCTTGAGTCCACTCAAAAGTCACCGCGTCACCTATCCACTCCTGCTCTTCCCCCCCTCCCCTCCCTCATGCTCCTCCCTCACACACATTCTCCCTCATGCTCCTCCCTCACACACATTCACCGGCAGTGGGATGGTGGGCTTGAGAGCATAGTGGCAGCAGCAGCAGCCATGCCGCCCTCCCAGCAAGCCCAGTCAGCTTCAGGGACCAGCCACTCGGCCAATAACCATCATGCATCAGGTATGCTGCTGTCCGCATGAGGTGCATCAGCTAAACCGTACGGAACCACGTCCCACCACTTGATTATTATCTCCCGAACTCCTCTTAGCAACCAGCTGCTTCTGCTCACTCGACTTCACAACCTGCTTTCCCTGCTCGCCCCTGTCTCCTGCCATCTGTTCCTCCGTGTTTTGAGACGTCTCAAAACACGCTTGCCCCTGTCTTCTGCCATCTGTTCCTCCTTGCTGCAGGATCACCCTCCCTGTCCCAGCAGTCGGGTGCCAGGCACTGAACCTCACCATGCATTCCTCCAAGCACACCATCCATTTCTTCATTTTAAACCCACTGCATTGTCGCGATAAACCTTAGCTTCCCCAGAGTACACTTCAAGCTGAAAATTCGCCTGAGAGATTTGAGTGGCGCTGCATTATTTAATGTGGTTCTTGCCTGAGGCGGTGTACCTTCGGCTTGCAAATTGCAGGCTCCTGCATAGGTAGAAACGTTAGATAATGTGTTAACATATTTCGTTATTAGGTGTAGTTCTTCCTGCATAATGTGGTTATTAGGTATTAGCCGCGCGATTGTCCGACATGTGACGCGTGTTGTTGACAGCGCACTCGGCGGCATGCAGCTCGAGCCGACATCAGCCCCTCGAATGTCGCGAATACCTATCACGACACGATCGCCATTTGCATTTCCTCTCCTTCCTATCTCCGCCATTAGTTCCCTTGAATGCTAGGTGCGGCTTGAACGAGTGAAGTGCGGTGCGTGATTCTGCGCCTTATGCGCCGACTCGTACACAGCCAGCTACAAGCATGGCATCTCATCTCTCTCACACTCGTTCATCATCGGATGAATTCGTTCCTTCAAGCCAGCAGCTACCCTTACCACCTCTGTCCGTTCGTTTATGGTGTAGTCGCATCAGTTGGTTCTTCCCTTCACCGTCTGCTCAACTAGTTTTCCCTTCGCATTCTGCCAGCGCAGCTCCTTCTACTCTTCACCTCGGTCTGCTAGTATCAGCATGGATTAGCACCAAATCGTGCGGAATTACTGAATCCCCGCGAAAGAAAGCACTCAAGAAAGTATCTTCTCGACCCTCATAAGGAGCTTTAGCTAGCAAGCGACAGCATGGAGTCGTACTACCGGCCCATGCGCGATTCTCTCCGCGCCCACCTCTCCGCGCTTCACGGCGAGGCGCGCCGACGGTTCCCAGCAGCCCTGGCGAGCGCGCAGGTCGCGTCTGTTTGTTCTGCGGCCGTGCTGGTGCTAGTGCTGATGCCGCTGGGGCTGTGGATCGGACGGCTGGGAATGGTTGTCAAGATAATCTACGGCTTTGTGCTGGGGATTGCGTGCTCGCTGCTGTACTCTTCGCTTGCAATGAGAAATGCGCGGCAGAGAGAAAAGAAGGTACAGTGCGAGTGGTTCAGGAAAATGTTGGAAATGGGAGGGGAATAGAACTATATATAAAAGTGATGTACAAATTCGTTTTGGGTGCATGTGCAGGCCCTTGTATTGAGGCGGATGGACTGGGAATTGTCAGTCGATGAGATTCTTCGACTGGCCGGATTTAGCAAAGACAATTGCACGTCCTCATGCCAGAAACTGCATACCTTGCAGGTAACAGGCGCAGTCATGGGCATTCCACTAAAGGGCGCCAATTCCTCACGCGTTTCAGGCTGCTTATTAGATTCTTGCGCCTCGAAGTTCCTGGGGTGCTCATTACTTGTGTATTCTTTGGATTTTTTTTTTTTTTTGCATTCTTTGGATTTTTTTGTGCATTCTCTGGATTTTCCTGTGCATTCTTTGGATTTTTTGGGTGCATGTGGTGGAGTCATTTCTTGGCAGCTGGCATGGGTGAACGCAGCAGTGCGGCAGATGTGGCCAGAGCTGCGCAAAGCGAGCACAGACATGCTGAAGAGCAGCCTGAGGGGGCTGTTTGAGGGCTACCACTTCGGCATCATCACCGGCATCGATGTGCGATCCGTGGACCTGGGACCTGATCCCCCCACCATCACTGGTGCGTGCTGTGCTGTGCTGTGCTATTCTGTGTGGTGTGTGGGACCTGTTTGAGAGGTACCACTTGAGGGACATGCTGAAGAGCAGCCTGAGGGGGCTGTTCGAGGGCTACCACTTTGGTACCACTTTGGTACCACTTTGGCGTTGATGTGCGATCCGTTGACTTGGGACCTGATACCCCCACCATCACTCCTGCGTGCTAGCTGAAAACCCCCTTGCACCATCACTGGTGCGTGCTGTGGTGCAGTGGGGATAAGCTCACGTGATCTGAACCCACCTTGTATTTCAATCCATACGCCGAGTTGAACTGAACCCATCGCAATGCAAGCAACACAAGTACCCATACATCCCTACACACTTACAAGCTTGCATGCATATTCGTGGATGTGAAATTGTCATCCCTACGCCCGTTTCTCCCTTTTCAACCATCCTCAGCCGTGAGAGTGCGCAGGGGAGGGGCAGGTAATGGGGCCGCGCAGAGCAACAACTCCTCTTCCCCGCGCGGGGGTAATGGGAGAGGCGGAGGAGGGGGGGATGCAGAGGTGGTAACGGTGGCAGAGGCGAAGGAGCGGGCTGAGAGGGACACTCGTGGTGGTGCAGAGGCACAGGTGATGGGGGAGGGACAGGGAAAGGGAATGGGGCAGCGGGAGGAGCAAGGGCAGGGGAAAGGGGAGGGGCAGGGGAAGGGAGAAGGAGAGGGGGAGGGAGAAGGAGAGGGGGAGGGGGGAGGAGGGGGGGAAGGACTCTGGGAGGAGAAGAGGGGTTGGGCAGAGGCGAAGGAGCAAGAGCAGGAGGGTGAGGGAGAAGGTGAGGGGGAAAGGGGAGGAGCAGCAAAGAAGGGAGCAGCAGAGAAGGGAGCAGCAGAGAAGGGAGCAGCAGAGGAAGGAGCAGCAGATGAGGTGGCTGCAGGCGAGGTGATAGCAGAGGTTGCAGTTGAGTGGGTGGAGGGGCGGGTGCAGCAGCGCAGCATGAGGCTGAGAGTGCAGACGGCCATGAGCCCTGATGTGGACGTGCGTGTGAGCAGCATCGCTGCTGCTGCCACGCTCAAACTCACCCTCAAACCGCTGCTGCCGCGCCTGCCTGGGTTCGGTGCCGTGCTATTGTCGCTGCTTAACCAGGTTTGTTGGATGATTTTTTTTTTTTTTTTTTTTTGGCCTCCTTTTTTTCTTCTGTAATGAAATGCTGATGTCTCTGCTCGACCATTTGTGTTAAAACTGCTTTGTAGCAGAATTCCAGTGTGCTGCAGTCACTGCCCAACCAAGTGGAGCTTTCTCACTGCATCCTCTGCATGCGATCAGCCCTTTCTCTATCTCACCCTGCATTCCACTCTCCGCCCTCTCACCCTTCCCCCACTGCTCCCCCGGGCAGCCTTTCTTTGACTTCAAAGTGTCAGTGATGGGCGGCAATCTCAAGGCCATGCCGGGATTTGAAAAGATGATTGAGGTGAGGTGATATGTGTGGTTGTGGTTACACATCCCCTCTCGCCTCTCTCGCCTGCCCCCATGGCCTCACATGTCCCCATGGCCTCACATGTCCCCATGGCCTCACATGTCCCCATGGCCTCACATGTCCCCATGGCCTCACATGTCCCCATGGCCTCACATGTCCCCATGGCCTCACATGTCCCCATGGCCTCACATGTCCCCATGGCCTCACATGTCCCCATCGCCTCACATGTCCCCATGGCCTCACATGTCCCCATGGCCTCACATGTCCCCATGGCCTCACATGTCCCCATGGCCTCACATGTCCCCATGGCCTCACATGTCCCCATGGCCTCACATGTCCCCATGGCCTCACATGTCCCCATGGCCTCACATGTCCCCATGGCCTCACATGTCCCCATGGCCTCACATGTCCCCATGGCCTCACATCTCCCCATGGCCTCACATGTCCCCATGGCCTCACATGTCCCCATGGCCTCACATGTCCCCATGGCCTCACATGTCCCCATGGCCTCACATGTCCCCATGGCCTCACATGTCCCCATGGCCTCACATGTCCCCATGGCCTCACATGTCCCCATGGCCTCACATGTCCCCATGGCCTCACATGTCCCCATGGCCTCACATGTCCCCATGGCCTCACATGTCCCCATGGCCTCACATGTCCCCATGGCCTCACATGTCCCCATGGCCTCACATGTCCCCATCGCCTCGCATGCCACATTGCAAATGACCATCATTTCTTGAGGCAGGGACCATGGTTCCATGCTTTGCCAGACAACCCCATACCTCACTCCCTCCTCCCACCGCACTCCCTCCTCCCACCGCACTCCCTCCTCCCACCGCACTCCCTCCTCCCACCGCACTCCCTCCTCCCACCGCACTCCCTCCTCCCACCCCACTCCCTCCTCCCACCTTCCCATCCATCCCTCCCACCCCCTTCCTCCCCAGTCCATACGTCTCACTGCAACCATATCTTCCCCGCGCCATCCTGCCCCCCACCTCCCTCCCCACCCCTCTCGCCACAGACGGTGCTGCGGCTGTCCATTGACGATTCCCTTGTGTGGCCCTCACGATGGGTGTACCCTGTCGTGGAGGGTGACTTCAGGTAGTACCCTGTCGTGGAGGGTGACTTCAGGTAGTACCCTGTCGTGGAGGGTGACTTCAGGTAGTACCCTGTCGTGGAGGGTGACTTCAGGTAGTACCGTGTCGTGGAGGGCGACTTCAGGTAGTACCCTGTCGTGGAGGGTGACTTCAGGTACTATCCTGTCATGGAGGGTGACTTGAGGTAGTATCCTGTTATGGAGAATGAATCAAGAATATTACTACAGTGCGATGGAGGTTGAGTTCAGTGGTTTAAGTGAATGCCCTGTTACAAAGGCAGAGTGGTTACAAAGGCAGAGTCCAGGGCGAATCTCCCACCCCTTTATTCCTCCCGCCCCCACTCCCACAGTTTCCTGGAGCCAACCCCCATGGGGTGTCTAGACGTGTCACTGATAGAGGCAGAGGGGCTGCCCAAGACGTGCTCACAGGGGCTGATGACCCATTCGTGCTGCTCACACACGCCCTCTTGCTTCTCCCCACCGTCCCCTCACACACACAGTTTCCTGGAGCTAACCCCAGAGGGGTATCTAGACTAGACGTGTCACTGATAGAGGCGGAGGGGCTGCCGAAGACGGACGTGCTGAGGGGAGCAGCTGGCCTGCTTGCATCACCCACACCACACCCTCGTGGGTAACTCTCTTCTCCCCCCTCCCCTTGCGCTTTGCGCCCTTCTCTTCCAGTTTCCTGGAGCTAACCCCAGTGGGGTACCTAGACGTGTCGCTGATAGAGGCAGAGGGGCTGCCCAAGACGGACGTGCTGACGGGTGCTGCTGACCCGTTTGTGCTGCTGTACGTGCGGCAGCGGGAGGGCAGTATCAAGCGCAGCAGCACCGTTCACCACTCGCGCCACCCCACGTGGAACGAGGGGTTTATACTCGAGGTGAGAAGGGAACAGGTGTTTAAAGCCGTTGCTTTGAAGCACCATGTGCGGCAGCGGTAGGGGGCATCAAGCGCAGCAGCACTGCTCTCCACTCGCGCCACCCCACGTGGAATGAAGGGTCTATTCTCGAGGAGAGGGGGGAGTAGGAATAGGTGAGAGGAATGGGTGTGACATGGCGTTGTTGTGAATGCATGCCTCACTAATCCCTCTCGCCCCTGCCACCACGAGAGCAGGTACAGGACTCTCTGCTGACCAGCCGTCTGTGAACTGCAACAGCTGACCAGCCGTCTGTGAACTGCAACAGCTGACCAGCCGTCTGTGAAATGCAACAGCTGACCAGCCGTCTGTGAACTGCAACAGCTGACCAGCCGTCTGTGAACTGCAACAGCTGACCAGCCGTCTGTGAACTGCAACAGCTGACCAGCCGTCTGTGAACTGCAACAGCTGACCAGCCGTCTGTGAACTGCAACAGCTGACCAGCCGTCTGTGAACTGCAACAGCTGACCAGCCGTCTGTGAACTGCAACAGCTGACCAGCCGTCTGTGAACTGCAACAGCTGACCAGCCGTCTGTGAACTGCAACAGCTGACCAGCCGTCTGTGAACTGCAACAGCTGACCAGCCGTCTGTGAACTGCAACAGCTGACCAGCCGTCTGTGAACTGCAACAGCTGACCAGCCGTCTGTGAACTGCAACAGCTGACCAGCCGTCTGCTTGCTTCTCCCTCTCACTCCCTCCCTCACGCTTCGCCCTTCACCCTTCACCCCCTCGCACAGGTGTAGGACCTGGAGTCGCAGCAGCTGACCATCCGCCTGCCAGCTCATGCATGCTGAGCGAAGCACGAAAGAGAGGAGAGCTGACCTCTTCCTCCCTCTTCCATGCCTCGCCCCTCACTCACTCCGCCTCGCACAGGTGGAGGACCCAGAGTCACAGCAGCTGACCATCCGCCTGATGGACAGCGAGCGATTCGAGAAGTCGGAGTTCATTGGAGCGCACATGCTGCCGCTCCACACGGTATGCTCGCCCCGCCTGGTGTGCTGCTCTGCTCCCATGCATGCTGCTCCCATGCATGCTGCTCCCGTGCATGCTGCTCCCATGCATGCTGCTCCCATGCATGCTGCTCCCATGCATGCTGCTCCCATGCATGCTGCTCCCATGCATGCTGCTCCCATGCATGCTGCTCCCATGCATGCTGCTCCCATGCATGCTGCTCCCATGCATGCTCCCCAGGCACGCTTGAACCGTTAGCATGCATGAATGAGCATGAATGCTGCCATAAAGCTTCGCAGATGAGATTTCTCAATTGCCTCAAAAGCTTCTCAAATGAGAATTTTCAAAAGTGGAGTCACGTTTGAACTACTAAGATGCATGAACATAAATACTGCCATCCCGCCTGGTGTGCTGCTTGCATCCTTTCACCCTTGCTCCATTGCTTCCCTCTTTAAGAATTCTCAAAAACCAACTGTTCCTCCTTGGCTTCTCCCTTCGACTGCCACCCCTTTCCCTTCTCTCCTAACCATCCCAGTTGCACCCCAACAAGGCCCAGGACTTGTGGCTCGACCTGTATGACAAGCCCGAGACTCCTGAGGGTGCGAGCACGCACGGGCGCGTGCATGTGGTGGTGATGTACGTCCCGTACACGCAGCGAGAGGGGGGAGGGAACGGAAGGAGTGCTGCTGAAGGGAAGGAGGGAGGGAGGTGTGCTGTAGAGGGGACGAGTGCTGTGGGGGAGGAGAGAAGGGAGAGTGGGCTGCAGGCAGGGCAGGGACGGGCGGAGAGTAGGGGCGATGAGGGAAGGGCAGGAGGATAGAAGCGGGTTCTTGGACTCTCCCCCGAGGGTGCTAGCACACACGCATGCGTGCATGTGGTGGTGACGTATGTACCGTACACGCAGCGGGAGGGGGGAGGGGGGAGTGCTGCGGAGGGGAAGGAGGGAGAAGTTACTGCAGGTGGGGAGCAGAAAGGGCGGAGAGCAGAAAGGGCGGAGAGCAGAAAGGGCGGAGAGCAGACGCAATGGGGAAGGGCGGAGAGCAAAAGCAATGGGGGAAGGGCGGGAGGATAGGCAGGTGCTCAGATTTTCACGGGTGAGAGTGCGAGCGCACACGGGTGAGAGTGCGAGCGCACACGGGTGAGAGTGCGAGCGCACACGGGTGAGAGTGCGAGCGCACACGGGTGAGAGTGCGAGCGCACACGGGTGCGAGTGCGAGCACACACGGGTGCGAGTGCGAGCACACACGGGTGCGAGTGCGAGCACACACGGGTGCGTGCATATGGAGGTGATGTATGTGCCGTACACGCAGCAAGAAGGGGGAGGGGGGAGTGCTGCGGAGGGGAAGGAGGCAGGGCAGGGAAGGGCGGGCCATGCAGGGGAGGAGGCCATGCAGGGGAGGAGGCCAGGGAGGGAGGATAGGTGCGCGGTGACTGCAAAGGCTGACAGGTGCTGCATGGTGACTGCACAGGAGGATGGGTGCTGTGTGGTGACTGCATGGGAGGATGGTAGGGGAGCATTCATGTGGTGGTGATGTGCTCTGGAAGAGGCAGGGCCATCTGGAATGACCAATCAAAATTAGTTCCTTTATCCGCTTCCACACACACGTTTTCATTGCCATAAAGCAAGCAGCAGAGGCCACAGCTGGTCGGGAAGGTAAAACTCGCAAAAAACTAGAACGTCGATCACGGTGGGACTCGAACCCACAATCTCCCGCTCCGGAGGCGAGCGCCTTATCCATTAGGCCACGCGACCTGCAATCTATGTCAAAAAGTATTCATATGTTATATAACAACACAATTCTGTTCCAGAACAACATTTGCCCCTCAGACCTAATAATCAAGTGACTCTCAGAAGCACAGACTAGGCCTCTCCCAATTAGTAATTAGCAGCTATGGACGAAGACTTCCCGCCAATGCTAGACGTGCCAGGCTTCGGCATTCAACTACCAGGCAGAGTGAGTTCTTCGCCGCGTCTCGTAGCGCGCCAATGCTAGCCTCGCCACCGCAGCGCGACCACCGCAGCGCGCCATGCGTGCTGACCCCTGCCTCTGCTGCCTGTTGTCTGCCCCTTCTGCTGCCTTCTGCTTCCCTCTGCTGCCTTGTGCTGCCCGTATCCGCTGGTTCACCCCGACCACATTTCTCCGTCTCTTACCGTCGCCATTTTTCTCCCCGTCCTCCCCGCATCCGCTCCCCCGCCTCGCGCGCGCGTTTCCCGCAGACCGCGGACGAAAGCAACCTCAACTTCCTGTAAGCTCCCCCGCGCCCCTCGCTCCCACCGCGCCTTCTCTTCCACCGCGCCTTCTCTCGCACCGCGCCCCTCTCTCCCACCGCGCCCCTCTCTCCCCTCTCTCCCCCGCGCCTCTCCCTCTCTCCTCGCCTCTCCTTCCCGCCGCAGCCGTTTTTCTCTCATGCACACAGCGGCACAGCCTCCCGCAATGTCTTCTCACCTCGCCTCTCCTTCTCCCCACCGCTTATTTGCCCTCGTGGGAGGAGGGGGGGCCCAGACTGCCCTCTTGCGACGTCTCAAAATTCCTCTCTTTCCCTCTCCACGTTTCACCTTCCTCCGCATCCCCCTCCGCCTCCCCCTCCCCCTCCCCCTCCGCCCGCCCTTCCCCATTGAGCCCCACAGCACGGACAGCGGCACGGCCAACTTCGGTCATGTGGCAGTGGGGAGAGGGGGACTCAGGGTGCCCCATCAGCAGCAGCAGGTGCGAATTGCTCGCCCCAGGTTCGGAGTACCGAGGCACAGCTTCGGATTGCTCGCCCCAGGTTCGGAGTACCGAGGCACAGCTTCGGATTGCTCGCCCCAGGTTCGGAGTACCGAGGCGTAGGTACGGGGGAGCAGTACTAGCTAGGGGATTCTTGAGGCGCCTCGAAAACCACCTCAATACACAGGTAGGCGACTTTTGAGGCGCCTCGTCACAGGTGCGGGGGAGCAGTGCTAGTTAGGGGATTCGTCCAGGTGGGCTTCTTACCGCTCTCTGTCGTCCTCCTGCTCTTCCCTCCACTTGCCACCCCCACCCCACCGATTTCGCTGCAGCACGTGCTTTCCGTCCGTTTCCCCTTCCCGTAGCTTCTGTATCCACCCGCCCCTTCCCCTCTGCCGCCCCCACCCCCACTCACCCTTCCACCCCCCCACAGCAGGACAACTCATTGCGCCTGGCTGACCTGAGAACGATGGAGCTGCTAGGGAGGGGGGCGAGCGCGGCAGTGCACCTGGTGCAGCATGTGTTGTCCTTTTCGCTTTCCCATAGCCCCTGTATGCCCCTCCTTCCCCCCTTGAACCCCTTTCAGCAGGACAATTCGCTACGCCTGGCTGATTTGCAAAAGATGGAGCTGCTGGGGCGGGGGGCGAGCGCAGCAGTGTATCTGGTGCAGCATGTGCTTTCCGTTTCCGCCTTCCCTAGCCAGTGTTCCCGTCCCCCCACTCCCCTCTCCACCCCCCCCACAGCAGGACAACTCATTGCGCCTGGCTGACCTGAGAAAAGTGGAGCTGCTGGGGAGGGGGGCGAGCGCGGCAGTGTACCTGGTGCAGCATGCACGCACGGGGCAGCAGTACGCGCTGAAGGACATGCAGTTGAACATGGATGCTGATGTGCAGAGGCACGTGGGGAACGAGCTGCGGATTAACCACCAGTGCCGCTCCCCGCATGTCGTCCGCTGCTACCAGGTGTGCTGTGCGGTGCCTGTGACCTGCCGATTCTCTACCCTGCTTGCTGTGTATGTCCATGGGATAACCATGCTACTCCACAGCCGTTTGGGAACGACGGGCATCTGCTGATGTCTTCATAGTCCTCTCCTCGAGTGCATGAACGCGGGCGCACTAACTAACTGACGTCCCATTGACTCAAAACCGCTCTGCACCCCTGATCACCCACCCCTGCGCTCCAGGCCTTGGTGGACGACGGGCACCTCTTTATAGTCCTTTAGAACATGGACGCGGGCTCACTGGCAGACGTACTGCAGGCGTCAGGAAGGAGCACCCAACCAGCACACTCTTACGCTCTCAACCCCTGTCCACCGCTCTGAATCTCTGCGCTCCAGGCGTTTGTGGACGACGGGCATCTGTTCATAGTCCTCGAGTACATGGACGCGGGCTCACTGGCAGACGTGCTCCAGCTGGTGGGGCGAATCACGGAGCCGTACCTCGCAGCCATCTCCCGCCAGGCCCTGCAGGGGCTGCGAGACCTGTACCAAGGGCACCGCATCATTCACCGCGACATCAAGCCCAGCAACATGCTGCTCAACCAGTCGGGGTGTTTGAAGATCAGCGACTTTGGTGTCAGTCGTGTGCTGGAGAATAGTTATGACGTCGGGAACACGTTTGCTGGGACCTACACTTACATGTCGGTGAGTTGTGGGGCAGGGGCAAGGGGAGTTGCAGCAACAGCAACAGGAACAGCAACAGCAACAGCAACAGCAACAGCAACAGGAACAGCAACAGCAACAGGAACAGGAACAGCAACAGGAACAGCAATTTAAATGAGGCGTCACTAGTGTTCCCTAACAGCATCATGCGTTCTTCCTAATTTCTGATCGCCAATGTACATAATTTCCTCCTTACCCTCCCTCCCCTCCCCTCCCCTCCCTTCCCTCCCTCCCTCCCTCGCTCCCCTCCCTCCCTCGCTCCCCTCCCTCCCCATTCCTCCTCCCCCTCCCCCACCAGCCGGAGCGCATAATGGGCAAGTCATACTCGCACAACAGCGACGTGTGGGCGTTTGGGCTGAGCCTGCTGGAGTGTGCCATCGGCCAGTACCCCTACCGCCCCGCCTCTGGAGGCTCCTTCAACTACTTCGATCTGCTCTCGGAAATCTCCAACTCGCCTGCTCCCATTGCCCCGCCCGACTTCTTCTCGCCGCAATTCTGCGACTTTGTGGCGCTCTGGTGGGTGCAATGCGGTGCAGTGCTCTGGTGTGCGATCTGTGCGCTCACGTTGACCTCCTGTTCTCTTCTCACCCCAGTTTCTGTAACTTTGTGGCGCTCTGGTGGGTGCCTCCACTGGGTAACTGACTGGTTGGGTGAAGTGCGGTGCAGTGCTCTGGTGTGTTGTGCAGTGCTCCCATGTACAGCACTCATCTCATGTGCACTCATCTCATGTGCACTCATCTCATGTGCCCTCATCTCATGTGCCCTCATCTCATGTGCCCTCATCTCATGTGCCCTCATCTCATGTGCCCTCATCTCATGTGCCCTCATCTCATGTGCCCTCATCTCATGTGCCCTCATCTCATGTGCCCTTCCCACTCTCTCGGCCCCTCATCCCCATTCTTAATCCCCCTTCCATCCTCCCCACTCCCATCCTCCTCCCCCCCGTCCCTCTCGCCCCCCTGCAGTCTTCAGAAGGACCCCAGCCAAAGGCCATCAGCGGAGCAGCTTCTTGTGAGTCCACCGTGCCCTCTGGCCCATGCCATGCTGTGCCATGGGGTGGAGTGGCGGGCCATGCCATGCCTTGGCATGGTCGGGTATGGCATATTACGGTGTGGAATGGCATGGCATGGCAGAACATGGCTTGGCATGGCATGATGGCATGGCGTGGTATAGCAGGGAATAGAATGGCAAGGCATGGGCTATGCGTTATAGGTGGCTGGCATGTGAACATGAGTGGTTATATGCCTACTCTGGCTTACGCATATACGTCTGGCTTTCCTATACCTATTCTATCGTTACTCTATCTTCAACCATCTCCTGTTTTACTTAACCTGAGCTTCACTTACCCTCTCCCCTTCTCACTGCTGCCGTCCCTCCCGTCCCACCCTCATCCCCATGACCAATCAGAACCATCCGTTCCTCCACCTACATCCTGACATCAGCCTCCAACCACTTGTGAGCAGCGATTGATGGCTGCGCATGGCAATAGCGCATCAGATCTGGTTGGGATAATAAGGCTTCGCAGGGTGCATGTTCGCTAGCTCCATGTTCACATGGTAACACTCATGTTCTAATTATATTTTTGTTAACCACCACTTAGTGAAGGGAGGGAGTGGGTTTGTGAGGAGGGGGGGAGGGGAGAACCGGGAATTGGGGATATGGGGAAGGAATGGAAAAAGGAGAGAAACCTAAAAGAGGGGGGCGGACCCAGTGACAGGTCGCGTGGCCTAATGGATAAGGCGCTCGCCTCCGGAGCGGGAGATTGTGGGTTCGAGTCCCACCGTGATCGTTACACACGAGACTCGGGTGATCCCGACAATAGTTTAGCTTTTGCACGTGTTGCTGCTCTCAGATGCTTCTTTCCCCTCAGAGTGCGGGTAAATCTTCTAATATGGTCGAGTACAGATAAATTCCAAAATGATATAACCAAATACGCGTAAATATTCAAATACCATAACTGAAGGCAGGTTGCAGTCATACAGACGCAAGGCAGGGGCACATGAGAAGCTTCTAGAACAGGGCTGAAGTCTCATCTCTCTTACCCTAATGTACTTCCTGCTGATCGCCCTGAACGCTATTCACTTGCTGCAGCACCTGCTGCGGCTGCTGCCGCTGATGTTGATCCAGTTGCTGCTGCTGGTCCGTTTGCACCTGGTCAACATGCTGCTGAGGCCGATGCTGATCGTCTTGCTGCTGGCCCTGTGCCTGCTGCCTTAGCACATCCATGCGTGCTGCAACTTCGTGCTCCTGCTGCACCCTAGCAGCAATCAGAGGACACACCACCTTATGCCGGGCCTTCCAGTCAACCGCCTGACACACGCGGCTGCAATACTTAGCCTCCCCACATGCAGAGCAGCATCGAAACTCCTGCTTCCTCGTCTCCGATCGCCCGCACAGTTCATTGCAGCAAACTCTGAATCCCTCAGGCAGCGGCACGAGCCCATGCCAGTCCACCAGGAACTTATGCACAGCAACATGCCACCAGGAGAGCGGCAGGGTGACGTGTGGCAGGCAGCAGCAGCGGTGGGGCGCACTAGACCCCATGCACACGGCCACAGAAGGTCTCTCTGCGTGGGGCAAAACTTCACTTGTAGTAGCACCAACAGGCGCATGGGTACCGCGACCAGATGCTTGTGCTTCAGAGTGCTGGATGCTAGACTGATGCCCGTGCTGGGACTGGCGATCAGACTGTTGGTTCTGCGGCTGATGCAGCCCAGACTGCTGCGGAGGCTGCCCATCATGACCCGCTCTCTCCATCCCCCCTGCCTCGAGAGTCGGCGATTCATTTGGTCTCGCCACGCTTTCAGGGCTCCCCATGCTCTGCAGCGCGCTCAAGTCGACTCTCGAACCGGAGGAGACGCGGTGGAGTACGATTTCCGCTTGGTGCGACGTGCCAGCCACGCCAGAAGCGTCACTGCTCCGTCCGTGGTTCCAGGAACCTGTGGCACACGCGTGCTGACGTGCAAACGTGCTTGAAACTGCAGCAGCACGCGTCAGCACTTGGGCTCTCGGAACGTGCGCATCGGCCTTCCTGCTGCTCTCTTTCACACCCACTGCAACGTTTTCTTTGGAACCGGGAGAGCCGGCGCCAGCCGAAGCCACTGGGAGAGCGGCAGGTGGAGTCACCTGCACGCCACTGCAAACCGTCGCTCCGCTCGTCCCACTGATCCCAGACATCCCAGTCATCCCAGTCATCTCTGTCATCCCAGTCGCCCCGCAATGCGACATGGCACCGCCAGGGGTTACTAACGGAGCAGCACACCGCGGCATCGCGACGGAGCAGGCGAGCGCGCGCGCAGCTTCGCGCACATTCGCCTCCTGGAGCATTCGGCGGCCCTCGGGAATATCCCGCTGCACGCCGTACCCGTCCTGCAGGCAGTGTCCCAATTCCCGCAGCGCCTCCACGTGTCCCGCAGCCGCGGCGCGCGCGCAGAGCAGAACTCCCGCGACCAGGTCGCGGTCGTAGCGCGTGCCGCCGCTGCCGTTTAAGTGGATGATGGCGAGCGAGTGCAGCGCGTGCGGGTGCGCCGCGAGAGCCGCCTTGGCCAATAGCGTGGCTCCCTGCTGGTGATCCCCAAGGCAGTAGAACTTAATCTGTAGCAAGGCAAGGGAAAAGATGACGGAAAGGATTTTAAGAACACGAACAACATCGTCAGATGACAACGAAATCTGGAAACGCAGGAGGGTGAAAAGGGGAGGGAGGGAGGGAAGGAGGGGGAAGCCGGAGAAAAGGAACCGATAATCTCGTGCGAGATCGTGAGACGCAGGAGGCTTACCATGCCGAGAATGTAGCAGGCGTCTGTGTTGCCGGAAATCGCGCACTTTTGCAAGAACCTGTGCGACCCTTCGGAGAGCGACTGTGCCCGCATTGCGAGCGCGAGAGGCGACACTTTTTGGAGCACTTGGGCCTGCGTGCCGAGTTCGCACATGCGACGGGACCTGAAGAACCAACAGAACAAAGATGTCAGTTGTTTGGGACTCCTGATTGGAAAGGTAAGAGCTTGAAGAAGCGAAGCCGCGTAAATTGTGACGTGAAATTCACGAGAGCCTTACGTGAGGAGGACGTTGATGACGTCAGCGGAAGAGTTGGCGCCAGCGACAACCTTCTCTAGTATGCAGGTGAGAATCTCATCCTGTAATTCGTTGAGAGGATCTCCGGTTAGAATCGTCGTTGAAATCCCAAATGACGTGTTCAAGGTGGCTAAGAAGAAAGAACAAGCTGTGAGAAAAAGAAAGTTATGGGCCTCAGGAGATGCACTTACAGGAAGGTTATCCATGTGCGAAGGCCCTGAAGCCGCGAGCCGTTTGTGAGCTGAGGAATCGGAAGCCTTTAGCGTCATTCGCGTCAAGTACGCTCGCTTGGAAGGTATGTGACGTATGTGGAAAGTAATACCGTCTGCAGCACTTTGATACCCGCCGGTTCTCGTCCGCATAATGACTTCTACTACGAAAGAACCTCTCAAATAATAAATCACGCCAAGCTTCTTGATACAACGTTGATACGCACCGCACTATGCTGAAACACCTGTTTCTTAGGTCATGAATCAAATAACACAAGGCCATGGCTATTTAGCCGCGTGAAAGGACATGAAGGGAGGAAGAGGCCGAGAATCACCGCGGCCAGCGGCACGCTCGGGGGGGGGGGGGGGGGCGTGGAGGAGGAGAGAACAAAACAAACATCGAGGATTCGAGGTGGGAAGGCGGTGGTGGTGGGATGGTATGGGACGGGAGGTAAGGTGATGTGATGATACAGATTCGAGTTGCCTTGCCTCTCTGCCTCTGAGCAGATCCGTCCACCTCCGAGCAGATCCGCTGCGCCGTGGTGGAACGAGCCAATTTGGAGCCTCCACCTCGAGGTTGTCGGATTGAAGCAGCGGGGCTGCTGCTGCCCGCCAGCGCAGAGATAGCCCAACTGACTGCATAACAACCTTGGTGTTTGAGCACGCCCCGGCCCAGGGAATTCCGACCTTGAGATGTGTGGCTCAACAGTTTCGCCGACGTGTCATCGCATCCATCCGTCGTGGGAAATTTCGTGCTGGCAAGGAAGGTCGATCGCCGTTCGATCGATTCACATCGGTAGCATATGTCGAAAGCGGCACGACACGGGGCAGCAAGAGTGCACACAATCCACCGCCGACGATTGCTGCTTGGCAGAATTCTGTCGTTATCTCGTGGGTGTGATCTTCTGCAGATAATTTCTGATTCGGATTTTCCACCTTTCTGAAGCGCATCGAAACGTATTACCTACTTAAGAACCGTACAGAAACGCAAACGGTTTCTGCCTGTTCTGGTCATTTTTGAAACTGAAATCGAGTCAGTGAGGTCAGAAAGGGCAAAATCCACCGAGCAGTCTGTTTTACACAGTCAGAATACTGTACATGATTCACAACAACATATACCACACGCAGTGGCTGTGCTTTGATGCAAAACACATCACAACAGAAACAACTCTTGTAACAAGGTGGTTATAGGCAGGGCTGATTTTATCAGAGTAATTACCCTGATTTCAAGGTGATTACAGGTTTGTCACTTGGTGGTCCCTGCCATTTCAGAATTTGTGACTTGTGAACTCTGATCCATTCAGATAAGGACTTTAACGAGCCCTGAAATCTTGTATCCAGGCTCAGAGTAGTGTTTTTACTGACACTGTCAATGTAGAGTACGCGTCCGGTGTACCCTGAATGCGAGGGTATCGGGACGAAGGTTCCTGGAAATTTCTTTCCGATATCCCCCTTCGGATTGATCTTGGGACAGCCAGCGCGTGAGCGACGGACAGTAGCATGTCTGACAGTTGAGTACACTCAATATTTGATACTTTCACGCATTTTGGATAGGTCGTCCTACTGTCGTAATTGCGTGTGTGTGAAGTTACCATACCATTTTTGGGTTTCGCACAGCGATACTGGCGACATTCAGGTACTCGGCGAATTAAAAAATTGGCACATTTGTGGTATCGAATCGAAATGTCTGGTTGACCGAAATCGCTCGTCTCTTCCGCGCGCTAAAACGTGTGGATAAATACTGTTTTGTAAAACAAAACGGATATAAATTAGCGCGCACAAGGTGTGCGCGAAACATAGAGCGCAGACTTATGACGCGGCACCTGCAGCACCGATCCTGCGATCGATCCTGCGCAGGATCGAAATTTTGCGGAGTTCAAAATGGTGTTGGGAATTTCAAATGCTCTCAGAGGATTTCAGTGCGGTGCAAACAGCGATCCTGCGATCGATCTTGCAAAAAAACTAGAGGTGCCGCGTCCTTAACACAAAGCGATACTTTTTCCTCGGTAAAAAAGCGCGCGTTACTACTCTGATCTTCGATTTTCGACCCTGAACAATCAGAGTTACATACTTTTCAACCTTGAGCAATCAGGGTAGCATCATTCTGAAAAATGTGCACTCATAATAGAGGGGGAAATTTTTCCCCGGAATCAGGGAGGCCTAATCTGAAACGTCAGCCCTGGTTATAGGACCCAGCTGAGGCTGCTTACTTAGTGCTAGGCCTGATGGGAAATTTTTGGACCTTGGAGGCACACTGCGCTAAAAGTAGGCAGTTGGCTTACATGAGCCAGCGCCGAGCACGCACATGATTGGAAGATGACGCAATAGTAAGTTCTTGCAACCTAACAGTCATCCCATTCTCCAATAAGGCTGGAAACAAGCAGCCAGTCATGGCACAAAGTTGCTTGCTCCAATTGCATTTTTCCAGGCAAAAACGCTGTGCTTGTCGTTCCAACAGTCATGCCGACTTGCAGTGACAGTGAATCTAACTGCAGAGTTGAGCATGAGGCCAAGAATGGGATGATTGGAGGATGGATGGATGGATTGGAGGGCCCATAAGGGCATTGGAGGCGCCCAAAAAACGGTCATTCGGCCTATTCTGAGAAGGCTCCAGAGCGGTTCAAGCATGGACAGGAACGAAGAGTGGTTACCCCGACACGCTGTGCTCGCGCCAGTCGAGGATCATCAATTTGAGGGCTCCTCTCAGGAGCCATTATGGGCTGGGAAATGATTCAACCGTGGACCAGAAGAGTGGTTACCCCGACCCGCCCGTCTCGCGCCAGTCGAGGATCATGGATTTGAGGGCGCGGTTGGGCACGAGGGCCTTGGAGGGCAGGCGCACGTTGGTCATGGGCGAGCGGTCACTCTTCTCCAGCCACTGCTGTATCGCCACCAGCTCGTATGTGTGCCCGTCCGCTGCTATAACTGGATTCACCATCAGCTCCTGGAGAGTGGTTTTGGGGGGGAGGGGGGGTTCATCGTATGGGAGGGTGGAAGGGAGTCGGAGAGACGGTTGGGAGCACGTGAATGCAAAGCAGCACCAGGTCTTACGTGTGTCCGTCCGTTGCTCTCACCGGATTCAGCATCAACTCCTGCAGGGGGGAGGAGCGGGGTGGGGTCAAGGAGAGAGGGTTTGGAAGAAGAGTCAGAAGCGGGTGAATGCAGAGGACCACCAGCACTGCTATCACCGGATTCACCATCAGCTCCTGTAAGTGATTGCAGCGAGGGGTACAGCACCTGAGTGCTTGCAATGCAACATGGGGGCCACCGCACCTGAGTGCTTGCAATGCAATATGGGGGCCAGGCCACCGCACCTGAGTGATGGGGCAGAAGAGGCAGGGAGGAGCAGCAGCAACGGGCCGCACCAGCGACGCCTTCTTGGCATCATCCTCCGCCTTGATCGCCACGCTCCGCATCCGATCCAGAATCGGCATCACCTCCGTCTCAAGGTCCGGCCGCTTCCGCCTCTTCATCTCACTGCACTGAATCGCCAGCCTGGCGATCTCCATGGGCATGCCCTGCGGCCACGTGCCCGCTCCCGCATCCAGGAACCGCATGAGTTCATCATTCCGGTTGTTCTCCACGGCAACTTCTAGGGCTTCGTACAGAGCGGGTGTGCGGTCTGTGAGGAGGTCGAGGAGGACTATGCCGAACGCGTACACGTCGGATTTCGGGCCGAATTCCCCGGTTCTCTGGAATTCCGGGTCTACGTACGCGAACGTCCCCACCGGGGTCGACTCGCGCTCGCACGTCCTCTCCATAGTCAGCCCCGGCATAAGCTTTGCCAACCCAACATCCCCTAACTTCGCTACGAAATTCTTATCGAGTAAAATGTTCCCGGGCTTTAAGTCTCGATGGACGATGGGCACCGGGCGGGTGTGGAGGATGAGGAGGGAGGAGGCGATTTCGGCGGCGATGCGGATACGGACGAACCAGGGCAGGGGCGGCGTGGAGTTGAGGCGCAGCAGGCGGTCCTCGAGGGAGCCGTTGGCGAGGTACTCGTAGACGAGCACGTAGCGATCAGGACAGCACCCCAGCAGCATCAGCACGTGCGGATGCTGTATCTGACTCAGAATCTCCACCTGAGAGGGGGAGGGGGGGCAGGGCAGGGGGGATGGCGGAGTTGAGGGGGAAAGAGGGCTGTGAGGGGGGAGGAGAGGGGGAAGGGCAACGGGGAAGGGAGGGGGAGGATGAGAGGAGGTGGCAGGGTGGGAAAGCGGTGGCTTTATAGTCGACAAAGCAGCGAGGTGGAAGCCGAAAAAAGACATCCTGCTGGAGCTCCGCCATGGCTTGACAGGAGTCCTTGCTCTTGAGCAGCTTCAATGCCATGCCTCGAGAGTCAACTAGGGGCATGCACGCATGGGACGTAAGGCAGAATGCATGTGTGTACCAAGCAACCCACGCACCTCCTGCTGAAACTCCGCCATGGCCTGGATGGAGTCCTTGCTCTTGAGCAGCTTCACTGCCACGGGTGTGTGGTGCAGCGTGCCAGAGTACACGGTGCCAAACCCCCCCTCGCCCAGCTTTCGCTCTGCACTGAAGTTGTCCGTCGCTGCCTGCTTGGTTGGGTTGGGGGGGAAGAGTGTGACGCGGAAGGGGGGGGCGCGGGGAGGTGCAGGAGGGGGGGGCGCAGAGGAGGGGAGCACGAAAATGGGAAATCAAGCACGGTGCCAAGCCCCCCCTCGCCCAGCTTGCGCTCTGCACTGAAATTGTCCGTCGCTGCCCGCTCGGTGTGTTGGAGGGGAAGAGAGAAACCCAAGGGGGAGGAACAGGAGGGGAGGGCGGAAAGGGGGTTTAGAGCGCAGGAATCACGGCAGGCAGGGTGAAGAGTGCAGGGCTGTACTCATGCACTCCCCCCCCCGCTGACGACTTTTGAGGCGCTTCAAAATGGCTGTACTCATGCACTCCCCCCCCCCGCTGACGACTTTTGAGGCGCCTCAAAAGGGCTGTACTCATGCACTCCCCCCCCCGCTGACGACTTTTGAGGCGCCTCAAAAGGGCTGTACTCATGCACTCCCCCCCCCGCTGACGACTTTTGAGGCGCCTCAAAAGGGCTGTACTCATGCACTCCCCCCCCGCTGACGACTTTTGAGGCGCCTCAAAAGGGCTGTACTCATGCACTCCCCCCCCCGCTGACGACTTTTGAGGCGCCTCAAAAGGGCTGTACTCATGCACTCCCCCCCGCTGACGACTTTTGAGGTGCCTCAAAAGGGCTGTACTCATGCACTCCCCCCCGCTGACGACTTTTGAGGCGCCTCAAAAGGGCTATACTCATGCACTCCCCCCCGCTGACGACTTTTGAGGCGCCTCAAAAGGGCTGTACTCATGCACTCCCCCCCGCTGACGACTTTTGAGGCGCCTCAAAAGGGCTGTACTCATGCACTCCCCCCCGCTGACGACTTTTGAGGCGCCTCAAAAGGGCTGTACTCATGCACTCCCCCCCCCGCTGACGACTTTTGAGGCGCCTCAAAAGGGCTGTACTCATGCACTCCCCCCCGCTGACGACTTTTGAGGCGCCTCAAAAGGGCGGTACTCATGCACTCCCCCCCCCGCTGACGACTTTTGAGGCGCCTCAAAAGGGCTGTACTCATGCACTCCCCCCCGCTGACGACTTTTGAGGCGCCTCAAAAGGGCTGTACTCATGCACTCCCCCCCGCTGACGACTTTTGAGGCGCCTCAAAAGGGCTGTACTCATGCACTCCCCCCCGCTGACGACTTTTGAGGCGCCTCAAAAGGGCTGTACTCATGCACTCCCCCCCGCTGACGACTTTTGAGGCGCCTCAAAAGGGCTGTACTCGTGCACTCCCCCCCGCTGACGACTTTTGAGGCGCCTCAAAAGGGCTGTACTCATGCACTCCCCCCCGCTGACGACTTTTGAGGCGCCTCAAAAGGGCTGTACTCATGCACTCCCCCCCGCTGACGACTTTTGAGGCGCCTCAAAAGGGCTGTACTCATGCACTCCCCCCCCCTCTGCAACCAACACAAAACACATATCCTCCCCATCCCAACTCCCGTCTCCCGACGCCTCGGGATATCATCCAAGGATTCTGGCTGCTAGTCGACTCAGCAACGCACCAGGATTTCTTCATACGTGTTTTGAGACGTCTCAAAACACGACTCAGCAACGCACCAGGATTTCTTCATACGAGTATTCCCTGTAGTGATGTACCCGCCGCATCACCGGCGCCATCGCTTCCCCTCCCGCAACCACTCCCCCTCCCGCAACCACTCCCCCTCCCGCAACCACTCCCCCTCCACCACCAGGCCCCTTCTCAGCCTCCTCTCCCTTCCCCTCTCGCCTCCCCACCTCGTCTTCCGCGGCCCTCCTCCCCTCTTCTGCTGTTACCCGCGCTCTCTCCGCGTCTACAGCAATCTGCCCAATCCTCGCAGCTGCATCCGCATCCCGCGCCACTCCCTGTGCCACAGCAACCCGAGGTGAGCCCTCAGGCTCGGACCCTGCCAGCTGGTTACCGCCTCGTCTGGCAGCAGTAGCAGCGGCGTCAGGGAGAGGCAGACCCGCGAGGGCTGCAGTGGCATGGGCCATGCGCGCTTCTAGGTCAGCCATGAACGCTTGTTGCTGCTCTGGGGTTGCCTGGGGGTTCGCCCTCCTCCACGCGTCCACCTCTGCTAGATAGTCCCTTTGCAGCCGCTGCTGCACCTGCTGTAGCTGTATCTGTTGCATCTGCTGCTGCTGCTGGAGCTGCTGCTGCTGCTGCAGTAGCAGCATCTGCTGCTGGTTCTGCAGCTGCAGCTGCTGCATCTTCAACTGCACCATAGAGTCGATATCGCCCCCCTCCCCAGGATTCCAAAGCGGGGAGGCCATGGGCATGCTGTGAGGCACGGCCAAGCCTGGCGAGTAGGGTTGGAAGCCGGGCAAGCCGTCAGGTGTGGTAGGGGCAGCAGGGTCATGATGCGGCCAGGTACCGGCTCGGGAGGGCTGAGGGGCGGTGTGGGCCGAGGGGCTGGTGGGGTAGTCGCCGCCAGGTGGCTGCGCGCCATTGGTTCTTGCGGCTTCCTCATCAGCATCGTCAGACCCGAGCCCATCGGTGGGCTCTAGCACCCCCGACGAGCTGTGAGTGGAGGAGCGATCTGAATGGTGGTGCCCTGACACTGACGGGCTGTGGCGGAAAGGTGCTGATGCCACAAGCACGTGGCCCGGGCTGGTGGGGGCGGAGGAGGAGGAGACGGGCAGCGAGTCTGCCTCTCTGCACGCGGTGACTTTGTCCTTAAGCACCACGTAGACTGACACTGTGGGGGGACGGTTCTTCATGCAGTACGCGCCCACACCTGTGCGGCCACGACTGGAACCAAAAGAAGGGAGTGGGGTTGGAGAGGTGGGGGGGGGGAGGTTTGGGGGAGATGGTGAGTGAAGGTGGGTTCGATTTCTCTCTCTATCGCTCGCTCGCCCCCTCTGCACGTGGTGCCTTTGTCCTTTAGCACCACATAGACAGACACAAGCACGTGGCCCGGGCTGGTGGGGGCGGAGGAGGAGGAGGCGGGCAGCGAGTCTGCCTCTCTGCATGCGGTGACTTTGTCCTTTAGCACCACGTAGACTGACACAATGGCGGGACGGTTCTTCATGCAGTACACACGCCAGTGTGAAGTGCATGCATGCACATAGACACACACATACATGCCATAGATGCACATACATGCCAAAGATGCACATACATGCCAAAGATGCACATACATGCCAAAGATGCACATACATGCCAAAGATGCACATACATGCCAAAGATGCACATACATGCCAAAGATGCACATACATGCCAAAGATGCACATACATGCCAAAGATGCACATACATGCCAAAGATGCACATACATGCCAAAGATGCACATACATGCCAAAGATGCACATACATGCCAAAGATGCCTCTTGAGCTGGTGCCAACAACGAGTGTGGTGGCCTTGAGCTTCCTGGACTCGTCCACTATCCCCTTCTCCTTGCTGTTGTTGCGCCCCACCTTCAACTCCAGCTTTATCTGCCATGCACCATGCACCATGCACCATACGCACACACATACACGCATGCATACACCTCCTCCCCCCCCCACCCCCCACCCGCCAACGCGCGCGCGCACGCACGCACTCACTCACGCACGCACTCACGCACGCACTCACGCACACGCACACACACAAATGAACGACCATCATCAGCGTTGTCTTGGTCGTCTCGCCCTCACCAACCCCATTCTGTAGGGAAACGTGCGCCGTACACAACAGCAGCAACTCAGCTTGAGATAATCACGGGGTGCTGCAGTCTCACCTTTGAGTCCACCATGCTTTTGAGTTCGATCATCAATGGCTGTACCACAATTCGCATGTAGTGCATGAATGCCATGTTGTTTCATGTTGTCTCTTGAGGTCCTCATAACCCACCTTTGAGTCCACCATGCTCTTGAGTTCGATCATCAATGGCTGTACCACAATTCGCACGTAGTGCATGAATGCCATGTTGTTTCATGTTGTCTCTTGAGGTCCTCATAACCCACCTTTGAGTCCACCATGCTCTTGAGTTCGATCATCAATGGCTGTGCCACAATTCGCACGTAGTGCATGAATGCCATGTTGTTGCATGTTGTCTCTTGAGGTCCTCATAACCCACCTTTGAGTCCACCATGCTCTTGAGTTCGATCATCAATGGCTGTACCACAATTCGCACGTAGTGCATGAATGCCATGTTGTTTCATGTTGTCTCTTGAGGTCCTCATAACCCACCTTTGAGTCCACCATGCTCTTGAGTTCGATCATCAATGGCTGTACCACAATTCGCACGTAGTGCATGAATGCCATGTTGTTTCATGTTGTCTCTTGAGGTCCTCATAACCCACCTTTGAGTCCACCATGCTCTTGAGTTCGATCATCATTGGCTGTACCACTGTGCGCACGTAGTGCACGAATGTTGTGTTGTTCACATCGCTCTGATACATCTCCACCTCTGTTCACGCCATGCATGTATGTACCCATGCACCATGCATGCACCCATGCACCATGCATGCAAGCATGCACCATGCATACACCCATGCACCCATGCACCATATACACACCCATGCACGCACTCATGCACACATGCACCAGTGCACACCCATGCACGCACTCATGCACGCACGCACCAATCCATGCCACGCTCACATGAAGAGCGCATGCAAGCATACATGCTCGCACACATGCACACGCGCGCGCCGTATGTACATGCCATAGATGCGAGCCATGCATGCATGCATGCGAGCAAACACGGGAACGGCAGATCGGTGAGAGAAGAGAGGCGCGAGCGAGAGACCAAGGAGCGGAGTTGCTCGGGGTAATCGAGTCGATCCCAAGCCGGCTGACACGTAACTTGCTGACGTTCGAGTCGACTTAACACGTCAGCGAGTCCAAGCAAGCCGAAATGCGAGCAGCAATGCAGGAACGACGGGTTTCAGCAGCACCATATCGGCACTGCTTGGGTACCATGACACTGCGAATGAAATTCTCACAGTCAGATCAATGGAGTTTCCGGCAACGGAAAATCCCTAACGGTGAGCAGCGAGAGGCTTACTCTGATGGGTGGGAACTTTGGTAACCACATGTAACAGAATGAGCATGTCGTCGGGGTGTCGCAGCCTGTTCGCAATCGCCCATCGGATCGCGTCCTTGCTGCACGGGTCCTTCCCCACGCCCACCACCACGCGCTCGCACCCCGACCCCACCCATCCTGGCGTGCTCGTCCCGCTTGCGCTCATGCCTCACCGCTCCTTCCCCCTCCCTCCTTCCCGCCTTCGCCGGTTATTGCGATTTCATCCGCGGGAGAGACTGTCTTGAATTATCAAATTGACACCGCATTATCGAAATTAAAGTTGCTTACATATTTTTCCGACTACCCCATTGACACCGCATCGAGCGTTTCTGTAAACTATGCCTAATGCATTGCCGTCCACAAATAACAATGGCTTTCTTATCCTAGAGACATGGCCAGGTTGACGAATTGAGAGTGAAGGGACTGGACATATGGCAGTTGGAGTGTGGAAGCAATGACTACGTACTAACCCTAATTTTCGCTAACTTGAGTCGCCATACAAGAGTAGCTACAGCCTAAACCTCTATAGCGAGAGGTCGGTACAGGCTAGTACAGCAGGTCGATTACAGGTGGCTGTGCACTCCAAGAATAGGTAAGCGAGCCTGAAACAACGAAAATCGTACGACCGCTTTAGTTGACAAAAACTGAAACTGTCAGAGCATCCCGACTCCCGAGTCAAGCGACAATCATGAGCACGAGGGGTGCTGTGACACTGCGAGTCGCAACTCGTGGTGATTCGAGTTTCAGTGAGTTGAAGAAAGGTGAAAAGTGGTGAGATTAAGGGAAGGTCGTTTCTGGTAGGACTGAGGCTCGAGAGGTATGAAACCGAGGGACCAGTGACAGGTCTGTTAGTCACCCAGCAGAACCGAGGGAGAAGTCATCACCGCCACAATAACGGGTGTTGAATCTTGGGAGCGGAGCGTAAGGGGAGCGGAGGAACCTAGGGAAGGAGGGACAGTTGGCATGATACGGGACGCTTGTTTATATGCGGTGCAGTAACTTAGCTCGTGGTTGAACGCTTTAACAAAACAATTTAGTACGGTTGGGTGGATAATGAGCCACCCCGAGGTTATGAGATCGTCGAATCGTATCAGATTATGAGGTCACGGGGGACAGCTGGGAGGCCCGTGGAGCGGAGTGGCGTTGCGGGGAGGCTGGGGGAAACCAATCGGCGAGAAATGTGACTTCAACGGAGAGCCAGCTGGGTCTCTCTGACTCGTTGGCTCTTCAACGGCTGGCTCTTCGAAGTTGGGTTCGCTGTTCGCCGACGCCAACTGGAAGTGCATCCCCGATCGCAGAATGCCAGCAAAGCAAGGGACCTCGTTAGAGTGAAGTGTAACTATCGACACCCCTGTACAGTGAGAGCAGTTAACTTACTAAAGGGTTGGGAACAACCCTTTGTCCCTCATCAAATAGCTGAGTTCTCTTGTAGCATAATTACTCTTTACTAGAAACAAGAATTCATGTGTTCATCCTCAAACCAGCTCTTCAATTCTGCAAACCTCCCTCCACTCCATCGCCAGCGTTCTTTGCTGCCTCGTCATCCGTTTCAAATGCAGCTGCATGTGAAGCCGCATACCCCTTCAATCCATTCACTGCCTCCAACTCATCCATCCCAATGTCCTCCCCCAGCTCTTCCAGAACACTCCTCACCACCCCTGCACCATCCTCCTCCTCGTCCCGAGCATAATTCGCCTCCAACCCCACATCCCCTAGAACATTCTCCCCGTACTTCCCCTCAATCAAACCCCCTCCTCCTGCGGTCTGAGAAGGCCCAGAAGCAGCACCGTCAGCACCAGCAGAAGAGGAAGTGGTGGCGGCAGTGGCGGTGGTAGAGGCATTGGCGGTGGGGTCGATGCGAAGGAAGGAGGGCTGTGAGGTGGAGGCGAGGAGGCGTGCCCACATGCGGTCAGTGAGGGAGATGCTGTTGGGCTTCTGTGTCACCTTCTGGTGCGTGGGGAGAGAGTGGAAAAGGGAGGGAGGGAGGGAAGGAGAAGATGGAAGGGAGATGGGTGAGAAGATGGTGTTGCAACAGAGATGAGAGAAAAAAGAAGTTGGGTGCGAGAGATGCTGTTGGGCTTCTGTGTCACCTTCTGGTGCGTAAGGAGAGTGGAAAGGGAGGAAAGAAGGGTGTTAGGACCAATTGGAGCAGGGGATTGGATGACAGAGGAGACAGAACGGGAGGATGGAAGCGAGGCGAGGAAATAACTTGAGATTGAATCCTGATAACAAAAGCCGAGAACAAGGCAGAGTTGAGGAGCATATCGCTGTATCCCATATCAATATTACCCACATTGCCTACATCAATAAAAGACCATTTGAGCTGAGGAGAAAGTGTAAACGCCCCCTACACTAGTCAGTGAACAGGGGGGCAAGAGGTGGGTGCGAATGAGTGAGTGCGAGGCGAGTGAGTGAGGCGACGTGGGGGGAAGGGGGAGGGGGATGGAGTGAGTGTGCTGACATGGACGGGGATGTAGCAGCGGCGGTTGCTGACAGGGCCGACAATGAAGTGAGCGAGGTGATGTGACATGGGAGGGAGTGATGTGACATGGAAGGGAGTGATGTGACATGGAAGGGAGTGATGTGACATGGAAGGGAGTGATGTGACATGGGAGAAAGTGATGTGACATGGGAGGGAGTGATGTGACATGGAAGGGAGTGATGTGACATGGAAGGGAGTGATGTGACATGGGAGGGAGTGATGTGACATGGAAGGGAGTGATGTGACATGGGAGGGAGTGATGTGACATGGGAGGGAGTGATGTGACATGGAAGGGAGTGATGTGACATGGAAGGGAGTGATGTGACATGGGAGGGAGTGATGTGACATGGAAGCGAGTGATGTGACATGGAAGGGAGTGATGTGACATGGGAGGGAGTGATGTGACATGGAAGGGAGTGATGTGACATGGAAGGGAGTGATGTGACATGGAAGGGAGTGATGTGACATGGGAGGGAGTGATGTGACATGGAAGGGAGTGATGTGACATGGAAGGGAGTGATGTGACATGGAAGGGAGTGATGTGACATGGGAGGGAGTGATGTGACATGGAAGCGAGTGATGTGACATGGAAGGGAGTGATGTGACATGGGAGGGAGTGATGTGACATGGAAGGGAGTGATGTGACATGGAAGGGAGTGATGTGACATGGAAGGGAGTGATGTGACATGGAAGGGAGTGATGTGACATGGAAGGGAGTGATGTGACATGGGAGGGAGTGATGTGACATGGAAGGGAGTGATGTGACATGGAAGGGAGTGATGTGACATGGAAGGGAGTGATGTGACATGGGAGGGAGTGATGTGACATGGGAGGGGAGTGAGGGAGTGCGCTGACATTGACGGGGATGTAGCAGTGGCGGTTGTTGACAGGGCCGACGATGAAACCCGTGTAGCCCGCCATGACTCCGTGCACTGCCCCGTGCGCCAGCAGCGTGCAGTATATGTTGTCACTTGCATTCGCTGGGATGGCGCGGATCATGTACGTGGGGTCTGGTGGGCAGGGGGTGGGAAGAAGAGGAGGGGGGAGGAAAGGGGAAATAAGCCCGCCATGACTCCGTGCCCTGCTGCGCCAGCAGCGTGCAGTATATGTTGTCACTTGCATTCGCTGGGATGGCGCGGATCATGTACGTGGGGTCTGGTGGGCACGGGAGGAGAGGACCAAGGGGGGAGATCAGCCCAGCCATGACTCCGTGCACTGCCCCGTGCGCCGGTAGAATGCAGTAGATGTTGTCACTCGCGTTGGCGGGGATGGCTCTGCCTCACAAACAACCACCCACCCACCCACTCACCCACTCACGCACGCACACACCAAGGTACTTCAGTTGGGTTTCTTTCCGTTGCCTCGCCAAGCGGTTCTTGACACGTCCCGAGATCCACAGCCCGCACGTCCATCAGCTTACCCACACACCCCTTCAGCCACCCACACAACAACCCACGCACCAATGTACTTGAGGTGGATCTCCTTCTGTTGCCTGGCAAAGTGGCTCTTGATATGCCCCGACAGCCACAGCCCCACCTGCTTACCCACGCACCCTTTCAGCCACCCAGCTATCCACCCACCCACCCACGCACCGATGTACTTGAGCTGAATCTCCTTGCGTTGCCTAGCAAAGTGGCTCTTGATCTGCCCCGACAGCCACAGCCCCACGTCCATCAGCTTTGCATTCCCCGACGCGTCGCGGCCCAGCACCCCAGCACCAGCAACGTCGTCATCGCTGGCGCTGTAGTGCCGCGCCATGTTCTCCTGCCCCGCGCCCTCCGCCACGACCAACACGCAGTGCTCGTTCTCGTACAGCCGCCAGTCTATGAAGTCAAACAGCCCGCCCGGCCCCTCCAGGTGGAATGGCACTTCCGGAATCAGGCAGCAGTCCTGGGGGCGAGAGGCAGTGGGGATGGGAAGGTAGGAAGAAGGGGTTTGTGTGGAGGTGTTGTGGGGGATGGGAGCGGAATGGGAGGAGAGCAGGAAGGGAAGAGGAAGGGGGGGGGCGGGGGAAAGTGGGCTGTGATGCTGCGCCATGTTCTCCTGCCCCGCGCCCTCCGCCACGACCAACACGCAGTGCTCGTTCTCGTACACCCGCCAGTCTATGAAGTCGAACAGCCCGCCCGGGCCCTCCAGGAGGAATGGCACCTCGGGGATCAGGCAGCAGTCCTGTGGCATGGTGGAGTGGGTTGAGGGAGAATGTTGGGCAGCCGATTTCGCATCCGGAATGGGAAAGGACGGGGGTGGTGGTGGTGGAGGAGGAGGAGGAGGAGGAGGAGGAGGAGGAGGAGGAGGAGGAGGAGGAGGAGGAGGAGGAGGAGGAGGAGGAGGAGGAGGAGGAGGAGGAGGAGGAGGAGGAGGAGGAGGAGGAGGAGGAGGAGGAGGATGTTCCACGTAATATGGATGGCGGTCACATGCACTGGATGCACGTGGAATGAGTGGATGCACGTGGAATGAGTGGATGCACGTGGAATGAGTGGATGCACGTGGAATGAGTGGATGCACACACACACATGTTCACACACACGCAAACACGTACTCACACGCCCATGCTTGTGCACGCACGGACCCCGGCACCCACACACACACATCCACGCCCACGCAGACACACACACACACACACACACACACACACACACACACACACACATATAAACACACACACACACACACACATACACACAAACACACAACCACACACACACACACACACAACCACACACTCACACACAGCCACACACAACCACACACACGCCCACACACACACAAACACGTCCCTGCTAGCTAGAGTGGCGTGCATGGCGATCTGTCCCATGACCTTCACCAGCTGTGCTGCAGCATGCTGATTGAGCGTGGTGTGGGAGCATGCTGATTGAGCGTGGTGTGGGAGTAACAAAGATGCGCACACACAACCCCCCTTTCCCTCCCCCCGCCCATTCACACATACCACATCCCTGCTGGCGAGGGTAGCGTGCATGGCGATCTGCCCACAGTACCGCCCCATGAGCTTCACCAGCCCCACGCCATTGCGAGTGCTCTCCGCCTCCACATGCGCCGCGTTGATGGCCCTCTGCGCCTCCTCCACCGCCGTGTCGAACCCGAACGACCGGTCGATAATCTGATGGGGTGGGGCACGAGGAGAGGGAAGAGAGGAGGGAAGGGAGGGGGAAAGCGTTGATGGCCCTCTGCACCTCCTCCACCGCCGTGTCGAACCCAAACGACCGGTCGATAATCTGATGGGGTGGGGCACGAGGGGAGAGGGGATGGGGGAAGGGAAGATAGGAGAAAAGGGAGCGGGAGGGTGATGGCCCTCTGCGCCTCCTCCACTGCCGTGTCAAACCCAAACGAGCAGTCATTTCCCAGATGGGACAAGTGATTGACAGGGATTTGGGAACGGGACTGGAGGGTGGGTAGGGAGCGGGTGGAGAACTTGCCAGGACCCAGGACCCTTGCCCCTTCTCTCCACCTTGCTACTCTTGCCCCTGTGAGTGATTTTTGAGAATTCTCAAAAAAAGGCTACTCTTGCCCCCCTTGCCCCCACCCGCCCCCTGGCCCCCTCAATCCCCCATTCCTTACCGCCATCCCGCCCCCACTTGCCCCCCCCCCCCCCCCCCCCCCCCCCCCAATCCTCCCCTGCCCCCCTTCTTGCGCCCAGTGGCCCCTTTGCTCCCCTTCTTGCCCCCTAAGCCCCCCTTGCTACCCCTGTGGTGAGAGCAGTGACTCACAGCACAGCAATATCACTGTCAATGGTCTTGGGAATGCCTGCCACTGCCACCTTCAGACGGCATGAGGGTGGGTGAAGGCAGCACGGTGAGTGAAGCAAGTCACTCACAGAAATGCCATGTTTTCGGTGCTATGACACATGGTGCACGACTCACAAGACGCTACGGGTGAGAACAGCGACTCACAGCAATGTCGTTGTCGATGGTCTTGGGAATCCCAGCCACCGCCACCTTCAAGCCCCTTCTCCTCGTCTCCTGTACCCCCCCACTCCCAGCACGGCGCAAAGTGAGATCACGGGCGGCAGAGGAGTGTCGAGTGCAGGGAACAGAGGAGCGGGGGGGAAGGGGAAGAGAGGGACGGGCAACGAGGGATCGGAGATGGAGAGGAGAGGAGTCAATGACGGGCCGACTACAAAAGGAAATTTAAGTTTGTATGTTTCTGCTGCTAGCACATGCGTGCAACAGTGCCCTTCCCTCCCCATTTACCACCATGCCGCCCGAATGCCAGCCGCCTGCCTGCTTGCTGCCCGTGTGCGCGCCCCCCACCCCGCCCGCCGGCCTGCCTTCCTGCCTGCCTGCATGCATGCCTGCCTGCCTGCCTGCATGCATGCATGCATGCCTGCCTGCCTGCATGCATGCCTGCCTGCCTGCCTGCATGCCTACCCCCCTGTCTGCGTGCAGCCTGTCTGCGTGCAGCCTGCCCGCCCCCCTGCCTGCCTGCCCGCCCCCCTGCCTGCCTGCCCGCCCCCCTGCCTTCCTGCCCGCCTGCCTGCCTGCCTGCCCGCCCGCCTGCCTGCCTGCCTGCCTGCCTGCCTGCCTGCCCGCCTGCCTGCCTGCCTGCCCGCCTGCCTGCCTCCCTGCCTGCGTGCCCGCCTGCCTACCCGCCCCCCTGCCTGTCCGCCTGCCCGCAGAGGTTACCTCATAGATGAGCTCGGCCCCTCGCTGCGTGCCATCACCTCCGATGATGAACACCTGCCATGCCATGCCATGCCATGGGCGCACGTGTGGTCAGGGCTTGGATAAACTGAGTGTACGTTTGGGTGGAAATGAGCGTATGAGTTGTGCACATGAGTGTGGCATGACTTGTGCTGTGAACACCTCACCCAGTTACCACCTCACCTGGTTAATGCCTCTGTCCTCGATCGAGTTGACAATGCGGGTGGTATCATGCCCGCCCCGAGAAGTGCCCAAAAAGGTGCCTCCACGCTTGTGAATGTCGTTGATCACCCACGGGTTGAGCTCCATGAGGTTCCGCGAGTAAAAACCCCGGTACCCGCCCTGCGTGCGTGAAATGAGGAGAACAGGAGGAGGAAGGGAAGGAGGAGGGGAGGAGAGGGAAATTAATTGGGAGCAGTAGGGGTTGTGAACATGGTTCGGTAAACCCATGGGTTTAGCTCCATCAGATTGCGCAAGTAGAAGCCACAGTACCCGCCCTGAGTGTGTGAAATGAGGAGAGGGAGGGAATGGCTTGGAGGGGACGGGAAGCAATCAGTAAGGAGGGATAGGGCGATGTGTGTGGGTTGGGTTCAGAGTGCCGGGGAGCAACAGAGTTCAGTATCCCATGGGTTGGGCTTCATGAGACTCCGTAAGCAGAAGCTCCGGTATCCGCCCTGTACGTAAGCTTCTTGCGCGTGCTTCCCAAGGGGATTCTCATGTGTCTGTGTGCCCTAACCGACCCACTCACATCGATGCCCAGACCGTGCCGCGTGCCGTACTGGAACCAGAGCCCCCACACTAACCCTCCACTTGCGCAGGTGTGTGCACGTGCTTCCCACATGCTTGTGAGCCCGACTAAGCCACTCACATCGATGCCGAGAATGTGCCGAGCGCCGTACTGGAACCAGAGCCCCCACACTATCTCGCGGATGACAGTGTTGAGTCCGGGGCACAGCCCCCCACATGTCACTATGGCTGCCCGCACCTCCCGCGGGTGGTACACAATCTGCCATGCCCCATGCCGCGCCATGCCACACACCATCCCATGCCCCATGCCATGCCAGATGTCATGCCAGATGTCATGCCACATACCGTCAACGCCATGTCACTCAGCAGCAGCACTCCCATGGCACACAGTGTCACACCATGCCATCACATGCCATGCCATGTCATTCAGTTGCATTCAAGTCATGCGATGCCACAGAGCCACACCATTCAAAGCCATCCATGCCATGACACAAGCCATGCCACACCATGCCATTCCATGTCATTAAGTACACGCGGTACAGCACCACACCATCCAAATCCAATTAAAGCAATCCATGCCATGATTCCGTGCCACAACCACCAACCCCATGTCACCCCACACATGAAATGCAAAATTGTCAAGACACAGTTATAATATGCTAAACGTTCTCAGAACTAACAGGGCAGAAGAGAGTGCAGGGACAGAACAGAAGGACCAAGAGAAGCATGTCCAGTACCAGTCACTCCCTTCACAAGCTGCGCTACCCCTGGACCTTTCCTCACCCACTCCCTGCGCCCTCTCCTCACCCACTCCCTGCACCTTCCGCTTACCCTCTCCCTGGGCCCTGCTCGGCGAAAGTAGCTGATGCTGTCCAATTCCGAGAGACGGGCCGAAACCTGGGAGGGCAGAGGTGTGGCACAGGGGGTGACGGAGGGGGGAGCAGTGCAAAGGAAGAGCAGGTGTCAGAGAGACCGAGCCGACACCAGGGAGGTGGCACACCATGTCATTAGGCTCACCTGCTGGCACACCATGTCATTAGGCTCACCTGCTGGCACACCATGTCATTAGGCTCACCTGCTGGCACACCATGTCATTAGGCTCACCTGCTGGCACACCATGTCATTAGGCTCACCTGCTGGCACACCATGTCATTAGGCTCACCTGCTGGCACACCATGTCATTAGGCTCACCTGCTGGCACACCATGTCATTAGGCTCACCTGCTGGCACACCATGTCATTAGGCTCACCTGCTGGCACACCATGTCATTAGGCTCACCTGCTGGCACACCATGTCATTAGGCTCACCTGCTGGCACACCATGTCATTAGGCTCACCTGCTGGCACACCATGCCGTTAGGCTCACCTGCTGGCACACCATGTCGTTAGGCTCCACAAAATACTGACTGCAGCCGGAACAAGTGTGTGCGAGATGTGGAGTGGAGTGGAATGGAGTGGAGTGGAGGAACAAGGAACAAGGTACAGGGGCATATGGGGAAAGGGAAGGGGAGGGGAGGGGGTGGGGTTCGAGTAGAGTGATTTTTGGCGCACTCGTTGAATGCACTAACTAAACATTCAATAATTGAATGCACACTGAATGCTTGAATGCACATTGAATGCTTGAACGCACATTGAATGCTTGAATGCACACTTGACGTGATGAGGATGCAAGATTAGGAGGGAGCAGAGTGAGTGACGTGACAAGGACTCGCTCTAACATAGGGCGTATGCCAAATCAATAATAGTGCAATAGTGCGAGTTTTGACTCAATGAAAAACAGGAGCAGGAGGAGTGCGGGTGACATGACGAGGACTCACTCAACGTAGGCGTATGCTGGATTGAGTGCGAGCGGGTTGCTGTACGTCTGCAGTCACAGATTAACGAACTTCGATACGAACATTGATATAATGCACAAAACATTGATAAAATGCTCACTGCCACTGAAAATGTCGAACTTCGCCAAATTCACGGCGCCATACGTACATCTATATGCAAGACGGCAGCAAGACCTCTAAGCATGTATCCAGTGAGAGTGGCATGCACATACGTGCATACAGTCGCATCTAATGAAAAGAACGGCAACCACGGCAAGCAAGCACCGCGAATGGCCCAGCAGCGATTGCATGATGGCCGAAAACCACCTCACCGACTGCTCGACACTTGGCACGTTAAGGGAGTGCCACGTGGCACACCCTCCCTCGACCAACCTCGAGGTTAGGAATCCACTCGGATAGATGCGGCACGTCGTCCACCTTGGACGAGCAGACCAGAGAGGGCGTGCCACGTGTCACCACTCCCCCCTCGGTTCTATGCCTGTCATCTCCACGTCTGCTCTTTCGCGATCGCACTCGCATGGACGTCGTCGTGCGACTTCCGTCGCACGGCAGTCGCTGACCGAAGAGCGACGTTCGCCGGTCGCACAGAGCGAGTCGGCGATTCGCATGCGACGACGGCGACGATCGCACACGCGAACTTGAAGGCGAGCAGAAACGGCCAGGCGAGAGCACCAGAGTGTTACCACCAGGCATGCGGAACGGAGTGAAGGATTGTGAGCCAGATCTGGCAATGCTTCGGCTGCCGCTGACGCTGGGAGCACATGAGAGAATGCTGCCTGCTGACGTGGCTCGCAAGCGACCAATGTCCGCTAATGCATCCATCAATACAGAACCGGAGGTCGAAAGAAGAGCACGGTGGAAAGACCTAGCACAGCTTTGCTAGATAAGACTCAGGTGCGCAGGAGAGGTCCTTGAGGCAGCAGCGCGCAAGGTGCGCGGCCGAGTGAGCATATAGATGAAATCAAGCTTCTAGCTGCTACTATCGCGGTCAGCTCATGTTCCTCAGGGATCTTCAATCCAACTTCAAGAATCCAAAGGCGTGTATGATCTAGAGATGTATCCGCGTCCGCCCTACAGTCTCAAGCCTTAGTGTTCTCATCATTTATGTATATCTATTAGCATTTCACGTTCTAAAGGCGTTGTGGTGGACCACAATTGAGCTTCCTGTGGATAACTGCACTATCTGTGCAAGAGCATTAAAAGCTTTTCAGATGTGAAAGAAATAGTACCGTAAAGTGCCACCTATAGGACCCGCCGGTAAGAGGGTCCCCGGGACTCTTGAAGGACTCTTATTTGGGCAGGATTTGTGAGGACCCCCTTTCTACCCCTAATCATCATAAGACCCCCCTTTCCTGTATACAGTAGTTGTAATTGCTATTGTGAGTCAGCTTTTATTGACAGAAACTTGAATTCTGACACGATTTTTTGTGTCAGACTCGAATTCTGACACTTTGTTTGTGTCAGATTCGAATTCTGACACAGATCTGACGCGCCGCTCGTGCGAAATCCGCCCACGAATGCCGTTTTTCGTTATAAATATAAGACCCCCCCGCCCCGAATTAAGCCGTACAGCCTAAAGAACAGAATGATAGTTGATAAATAAGTGTACCCCGGGTCTTAAAATTTTGCATCCGCTAGAGGGTCCCCCTAGCACTTTTTAAAGCATTTGTAGAGAGTCCCCCGGGTCCTATAGGTGGCACTTTACGGTAACTTTAGATGGAAGGAAATTGCATGCAACACACATGCAATTGGAGGCTAATATGGTGGGTGATATGTGTTACGAATAGTAACATTTAATTGTTACTAAGCACTCCTCACCGCAGCAAAGAGAAGCACGCAGTATCGAAGCAAGAAAGCGAACCGTCAGACAGTTGGAGTTTGACTCGAAGTGTCAGACAGTTGGGGCGCGTCTGGACCGTCGGAAGTGTTAAATTGTAATGTGTTACATGTTGGTAGGCTGTAGTGGGGTAGCCAATATGGGGTACAACCTCAACTAGGGTTTGCTACTTGTACCCAACTGTTTCATTCAATGCACCATTCTTGCCTAGTCTTGTTTACATGGTATCACAGCAGGAGGTCCCTAGGACCTACCGACCGTTTTTTTTAGGGCCCACCACCGCTCGCATGCGGTTACCACGCTACCCCGTGCCCTAGCCTAGCTGCGCCCTCGTGCGCCCTCGTTAGCGCCCTCGCGCGCCCTCGTTAGCGCCCTCGCGCGCCCTCGCTGCGCCCTCGCGCGCCCCTCGTTAGCGCCTTCACGCGCCCCAGTTAGCGCCCTCGTGCGCCCCTCGTTAGCGCCCTCGTGCGCCCGCGCTGCCCGCCCGTCGCGCTGCCCGCCGCGCTGCCCACCGTCGCGCTGCCTGCCGCGTCGCCCGCCAGTCGCGCAGCCCGCTGCGCTGCCCGCTCGCCGCGCTGCCCGCCCGTCGCGCTGCACGCCGCGCTGCCCGCCCGCTGCGCTGCCCGCTCGCCGCGCTGCCCGCCCGTCGCGCTGCCTGCCGCGTCGCCCGCCAGTCGCGCAGCCCGCTGCGCTGCCCGCTCGCCGCGCTGCCTGCCCGTCGCGCTGCACGCCGCGCTGCCCGCCCGCCGCGCTGCCCGCCGTCGCGCTGCCTGCCGCGCAGCCCGTCCCGAGCCCGCTCGACGCGCGCGCGGCCCGCAGCTGCCCCGCGCAGCCCGTCCCGAGCCCGCGCGACGCGCGCGCGGCCCGCCGCTGCCCCGCGCAGCTCGCCCCAGGTCCGCGCGGCGCGTCCGCGGCCCGCAGCGCGCTGCGCGCTGCCCGCGCGGCCCGCGCCGCGCCCTACCCGCCAGTGCACGGCCCCCGGCAGCGGCTCGCGCCACCCTACCGCCGCCACGGCCCCACCCTGCCGCTGCCACGACCCGGCCCTGCCCTGCCGCTGCCACGACCCGGCCCTGCCCTGCCGCTGACTCGATCCGGCCCTTCACTGTAGCAGCTGCCACGGCCCTGCTGTTGCCGCCGTCGTACGCTGACCCTGCCGCCGTCCGCCGAGCACCGGCCCTGCTCGCCCGGTGAGAGCCTGCTCTTCCTACTACTGGTGAGCCCCTGCCTTGCTAGCGCGCCGCCGGCCTGCCTGCCTGCCTGACCTCCTGCTACTGGCCGACGCCAGATGCAGCCCCAGCGACGTCCGCGTGAGTCCCTCACGCCCCAGCAGCTGCGTGAGTGGTCCGCTAGTTGGGGTTGTAGGGGTGGCCGCGCTGCTACTGCTGCCACTGCTGCTGCTGCTGCTACTGGCGGTGGCCAGATGCAGCTACACTGTCGTCCACGCGAGTCTCGCACGCCCCAGCAGCTTCGTGAGTGGTACGCTCAGAGTAGAGGGTCTCTCAGTTCTGTTCGCTGCTCTTACGTCATTCGCACTGGTGCTCGGACTGGTCAGCCTTGCGGGACACCTAGTCACACGCAGTCCCGCTGCTTCGCCCGTCTGAGCGACGCCTGGCGCACCGAGTTTGGCGACGGGGCTGAGCTCCCCGACTGGGTGGAGCTACTTAGGCAGAGAGTAGATATATTTGCTCTTGACTATGATGCTATTCTCACTGCCATGTATGCATTGCCTACTAGTGCTGACCGTGCCTGTTACCTGTGTGCGCCGCCTGACCCAGGTATCGCGCCTGCTGCTCTAGGTACTGGTGAGGCTGCTGCTCTAGGTGCTACTGCGTCTCCTGCTCTAGGTGCTGGTGAGGCTGCTGCTCTAGGTGCTACTGCGTCTCCAGCTCTAGGTGCTGGTGAGGCTGCTGCTCCAGGTCCTGGTGAGTCTGCCCTCTCAGGTTCTTCGCCTGCTGCGACCCTGCACACCTTCACCCTTGACTCAGGAGCTTCCCGCTCCTTCTTTCGCGACTGCACCACACTTACGCCGCTTCGTCGGCCGGTTGCAGTCTCCCTGGCCGACCCCTCTGGGGGTCCAGTCCTTGCCCACTACTCCACGGTTCTGCCGTGTCCGGCCGCCCCGTCTGGCTTGCTGTCAGGTCTCTACCTCCCCTCGTTCTCTACGAACCTGGTGAGTGGAGCTGACCTCCAGGATGGGGGGGTTGACCAGTTCACTCCTGCGCGTCAGCGGGTGACTCACTGTACGTGTGCTCGGACGGGCCGACACCTGGCCACTTTCACCCGTGAGCCTGGCTCGAGCCTGTACACCCTGACCACTGAGTCCCCTCAGGTAGCTGCGTCTGCGTCTGCGTCAGGTCAGCTGTCGGCCCCCTACTTGTGTCGCGCCTTGTCGCACGAGACCCTCCTTTGGCACCACCGCCTTGGTCACCCCTCGGTGCAGCGCCTTCGCAGCATGCACCGTCGGGTCCTTGTCTCTGGTCTTCCCAGAGTTCTCCCTCCCCTCCCACCCTCGCCTGCTCCTCCCTGTCTTCCCTGTGTCGAGGGGCGGCAGCGCGCCGCTCCTCACTCCTCCTCGTTCCCTCCCACAGAGGCTCCCTTGCAGACTCTCCACCTGGACGTGTGGGGCCCAGCCCACGTCCGTGAACAGGACCACGAGCGGTACTTCCTGCTGGTCGTCGACGACTACACGCGTTACACCACGGTCTTCCCCTTGCGCACCAAGGGTGAGGTCCCTACTGTTTTGATCCCGTGGATCCGCGCTGCTCGTCTCCAGCTCCGCCAGCGGTTCGGGACAGAGTTTCCGGTCCTGCGTCTGCACTCTGACAGAGGTGGTGAGTTTTCCTCCGACCTCTTGGCAGCCTACTGTGCGGAGCACGGCATCACCCAGTCGTTCACGCTTCCGGCCTCTCCGCAGCAGAATGGGATTGCTGAGCGCCGCAATGGCTTGGTCATGGAGGTCGCTCGTACCTCCATGGTCCATGCGGCTGCCCCCCATTTTCTCTGGCCGTTTGCGGTCCGGAACGCCGCGCATCAGCTCAACCTCTGGCCCCGTGTCTCCTTGCCGGAGACCTCGCCCACACTGCTGTGGACGGGGGAGGTTGGCGATGCGTCGCGTTTCCGGGTCTCGGGTTCTCGTGCCTTTGTCCGCGATACCACCGCGGACAAGCTCTCCGCCCGCGCTGTCCCCTGTGTCTTCCTTGGCTTTGTCCCTGACGCGCCTGGCTGGCAGTTTTACCACCCCACCTCGCGCCGGGTCTTCGCCTCTCAGGACGTCACCTTTGACGAGTCGGTCCATTTTTACCGTCTCTTCCCCTACCGCACTGCCCTCCTCCCTCCCTCGCCGCTTTTCCTCGCTCCTGGTCCCCCTCCGGTAGACCCCCTTCCCCCTCAGGGTCCTGCTCCTTCAGGTGTCTCTCAGGTAGACCCTCCTCCCGTCACTGAGCCTGTCGAGGTCACAGGTGACTCAGGTGCTGCTGCGGGTGGTGCTGCTGGGAGTGCTGAGCCTGGGGGTGCTGAGCCAGGGGGTGCTGGGCCTGGGGGTGCTGGGGCTGCGGGTGCTGGGACTGAGGGTGCTGGAGCTGAGGGTACGGTGCCTGAGAGTACGGAGCCTGGGGGTGCTGAGCCTGGGGGTGCTGCGACTAGGGGTGCTGAGCGTGCGTGTACGGAGCCTGGGTGTACTGAG